TGAAGTATCTTGTATGCGTAGTTTGCATCCAATTTTCCATCATTGAATTCCGAATTTCCAACACCCTTGTCTGCTTCATCAATTTGTCCCGGTCGCCTCTCGCGGCCGATGGTTGCGATGTACTGAAGCTCCTGCACAGGTGCCATGACGTAGAACCATACTCTCCTCACAGATTCTGGGATCGAATATCTCCGAAACTCGTGAGTTTTGAGGCCAGATACGACCTCTTTCATTGCCGCCGGTTTGATCGAGATGACAATATCTTCATCTTGAGGCTTATCGCTCCTTTCTAGCTACACAGTTAGTTTTCTTAGAAAGCTATCTTAGAGTGAGTAGTTGAGCCAGCTTCTGTACCGTAAGTTCCAGCCATGTTAGCAAGCTCCTCGAAGATCCGTAAAGAGAGTTCCAAATTATTGTTCAAGAGTGGTGGTTGTTTCCGACGATAACCACAATACCGTTCGAAGTTATTTAATGAACGTGACTCAGCACGCAGTCAGTCACGTGTTGCAACAGTCGGCGCCTCACTTAACGTCATCGATAACAGAAAGAAAAAAAAAAATTACCGAACGCAAAAGCCATCCAATACACACACCCTTGAATTGCCACCCCACTTCCAATCAAAAATCCACAACAATGGTCAAAATCCAAGAAGTTGAAGACGAACACTTCACCGATGTGAAGCCTGCATTCGCGGACGACGCTGAGGATGACGATTTCACCGATACTGACAGCGAAATCTCTGACGAGGAGGAAGATGATGATGAGCTGGAGGAAACGCTTTACGACCGCCTTGTCGCTTTGAAGGATATCGTCCCATTGAAACAACGCACATATCTCTCCAACGGAGCTTCGCGCACCTATAGGTGGATTTCCAAGGGACTTTCCTTCGGTGGATCTACGCTGTGGGTCTTGACTACCTCGGTCATGATTTTGGGAGTTCCATATGCGGTTGCCCTCCAAGGGGACCAGCAATTGGCCGAAATGGAGAAGGAATATAACGTTTGTACCCTTCAGAAATGAACAAACCAACGCAAGGACGAAAAGCTAATCTATTCACTCGGTAGATGCAACAATTCACTACTGAGGTAAGCTCCGTCTCAAAAGCAGAGCAGAGACAAGTGGCCAGTATCAATAGTAATACTAATAACTAAAATAGTCCTTGACTCCCGGCGCACAGTCGATTCTTACGGAGGGAACCCAGGAAAAACCTCGGCAGTAAACGGCTTTCTTCCCTGCATCGCAACTCTACCTGTATCATGTTCAATGGGCTGTAAATTTTGATCTATTTTCATTTTTTCTTTGGGGGAGTGGGGGTTTAGCGGAAAAAAACAAAAAGCGATCAACCACAAAAAGCGGTTTAGATGATCCGAGGATAGTTCAATTCTGGAAGGCCAGAAGTTACAGGCCTGCATATCTTCTCTCTAAAATGCATATGGCGCATCTCATGGTTAACTTTTAAAAACGTTAACCTGGCTCATGTAAAATAACATAACCATATCTACTTGTTAATTCTACAAGAAAGAGCCGAACTTGTTCAGGATGTGGGCAGAAATTGGTCTCCAGAGAAACCATCCTCATCGGTTTGCCAGTGTAGTCATGAGAGATCACTCGATTGTCCAAATCGGCCAGGGAAAACAACACACTCAAAACCACGACAAGAATTACCGAGGAAGTTCCCTGGGCACATTTCTGCCGCTGTCCAACATAAGTTTCATCCTCGTTTCGGGGTCCCGATGACTTGTGACTTCCTCATCGCCTTATTCGCGATGAGGGTGGCTCACACTCCCATTGGATGGTTGCGGGCTGTGCTGGCCACCAGTCGCCTTGGTAAGGCACCACCACATCTAGGCAGCTGGAAAGTCTCCAAAACTCGTCGTCACTCCTGTCACTAACCTGCCTAAACTCAACAATTTGAGAGTTATTGGCCCGTTCTTATGCCTTGATCCTGCAGGTGGCAGCGCCCTAGGGTGCGAAACTGGCGTCAAAAGCAAGCATCGCGGCTGAGTTATTACACGTACCTATCAGGTACGTTGTTACCTTTTGGATGGCGAATATAAAACAAGGGGCATATCTGCCTACCCTCGGGTGCTCGCAATGTATTGATTATGCTTCGCCAGGTCTCTCTCTGATACCGCTGTTCGCGTGCAATTAGATTTATCCGGCTGCTAAGGAAGATCCAAATTGTCTTATCGCCCATTTGAAGGAAAAACCCACCATGCGAGAAACGGCCTTAGCGAAACATACTCGAGTTCAGTTAATCTCACTTCGGCGGAAACTCAAGAGCCCAAAACCGTATGGTCCAGCTACTGCAGTGCTTCCAAAATCGGTATGGATGCTAGTTTTAAGTTACTTGGACGAAGACGATTGTATCTATCGTCAGCACAAAAACCTTCATTCTCTTTCCCTCACGTGCCGGTTTTTCAACGAATATGCGACAAAAGTACTGTATGGGACTCTTGATTTGCAATTCAATGGACAGCGGGATTCAATGCCTCTCAAGCCCTTTAGCCATGTAGATCTCGAAGCACCAACATGCTCCTGCCCGTCCCACATGAAGGCCCACGAGTCTCCGATATCGAATACCCTGAGGAGAAAATTGGATAAGCTTCTCCTTACTCTCAAATCCCGCCCAGATCTCACTGCGCGAATCCGGTGTTTGAAATTACCAAATCAGTATCTCCCGTCAGATATCAGATATCTGCCTTACGATAAGCTGAATAGGCGATTGAAAGAGATTTATTGCTCTTTACTTGAGCGGTGGTTCCGGATATTCAATATTTGCTCGAGTACGCTAGAGTCAGTATCTGGTCTGGGAAATTTATGGCCAGAGCTCCAATATCGTTGCTTTCGGAGAGCAGAAATTCAGTATCGTCTGGACCGGAGACCGGAGCTGCCGAATGAACTATGGTCGGCTCTAGAGGAAAACCAAAACTGGACGCGATGGGACTTTACCAATTGGTACACCACCCTACTTCCGGGTACGGATTTGGAGATATTCAGGCGGAATATGGATGGTATATGTGACTGGAGCCCCGAAAGAATGCGGCGAACATTTCGTGGGTGGACCAATCTTGAGCACGTTGAGGTTGCGAGCCCGGCGTGGATGCAAAAGGGTCTGCACCTCCTTCCAAACCTTCGATCTGTGGCTATTCACACGAATTGCCATACAAATTATAATGATATATTCGAGCATCTGCCACTTCGAGGCATTGAGTCAATAACCTACGATTGCTTCGAAAGGACCCCTCGGAATACGGTAGAGATGACTTCGGAGCCTTTCGGACCCCTTATTAACTACCTGCGCAATGCTCGACGATTGTCACTTAAACTTAGACCCTCCACTATTCCCACTCTCACCCACCTGAACATAAATTTTCAATGGTGGACTAAAGGTCGACCACTTGGAATGGGCACATTCAACCACCTGGCATTCTCCATATTTACTCTGGTTCCCCTCCTCCAAGAACTCAAGTTGATCCTAGTTACTCTGCATGAAAGAACTCTGGGTAGCTCTGAGGAAGAAGCAAACGAAAAGCACACGATATGGGATACCGTATTTGCCGCGCAGCATCTTCGAAAAATGACGATTTCCCTCCCTGCACGGACAAACAAGGAGTGGCTGGCGAATAAGATGGTGACGGGGGCGTTCCCTGTATTAACTGATTTTACGTTCCGGTCCGCGATGAGCCGGGATCACGATCAGACATGCTCGTGCGAGATGGATCAAGATTCTTTGCTGTGGTATAAGTTTGGACAGGCTCAAGATGAAACTATGGTCAATGCTTGCCAGGCTGCAGGAATACCCAGGTGGACTATGCAGATTCGGAGTAATCCCGAAAATGTTCGTAGGCCTGATCTGATTGGATGGTTGGCTAGAGTGCTTAAGCTGATATGGTGGTGTCTTTAGGCATGCCCTATCTTCTTAATCAACCATGAACTTGAACATGGTGCCCAGAGCCTCTACCGGCGAGCGCCGTGGATGCCAGGGCCGGGGAAACTGGCTTATGCAAGTACATCGAAAATTCTAGGTTCGTGCACCTAGCCTGATTGTGTTTTCTGACGAAACGGCGAATATTGTACTGTTGGGACACAGAACACTGATATAGCTGATGCATTCAGGTGGTACCATATGCGAGGTGCCAGATTTCTAAGTGTGGCTTGCACTTGTAGATGCTGGCCTTGACTTATTTGGGTTGGATTAGTATTGAGCAGGCTCATTCTTTTAATATTTAGTTTTTGGAACGCCCACACCCGGATGGGACCGAATTTTCTTCCCTTCTTTTAATTTCATACTTCGTCTGGTAGAGTGCGTACATACATAGAGCACATGATGATGCATCCACCCAGAGACAGGGTTGATAATGGAAAGTAGATACGACAATACTTTAGTTGGGTAGGATAAGCTCTGGATTTGGTTGATTGGCTTGAACTGGGGCAATGGAGAGATGTTGGTGGAGGAGTTGCCCTGGATGCTTGGGAAGTGATTGCGTGTAGTGGTTCATAGATAATCACTCGCACGACGCTCAACGCCGAAAATCGGCGTAGGGCACCATATAACTGCAAAAATCTGGCAAAATCTCATGTGTAATAGAATCGATATTCATTGAGAAAGAAAATCTGGCTATACATGCCTTGCATTCTGATCCTTACGGACCACATACAATTTTGCTCTGGGCATCTGGTAGGGTTAGGGGCAGTGCTTTCCGGGTCAATGGCGAATGGCCAAATTAGCCGTGTAGGATCATTCTGTGCATTTCCGTTTTCTTTACTTCATGCAAAACGGCTAAATACTTTCCTGATTTGATACTATTACTTATCAAAAGCTTCTCTACTAGTAGAAGCCATGATTCTGCTTGTTACATGTAGGTTTTATTATCTAATAGTGGGGATGACCTAAAACAAATTATAGTGGAAACTCATATTAGCGCCACCCGAACGCGTCTCCCCATAAAGCTCCGACGCGCGCGACGATAGCTCTTCCCCTCTCTGCCCCACTAGTCATGAGCGAGAATCCGCACTCATCGCAAGCAGCCCCGGTAGATGAGTATCGGGTTTTGTGGACAGCCGTATGGAGCCCTAAATGCTTCCTCTACACCGTAGCGCTGTCATTTACTGACATTGTGACAATAGCAAAAAAAGCAAAAGCTCAAAAAATGGCACGACGGTTCGTTCACTCGGCGCGCTTTGAGACAAGCTTCTAGGACAGTCCGTATTAACAGTCAATAGGATTCCTCCGATTTCACAAATTCAACAAGCGCCTATTGGTCTATGATGACGCTCGGCATCTTGTGGTGGGTTATTTCTCCTGCCGTCCGCACAAGTCATTATTGTACTGATCTTGTTGCACAGGCGGACATGTACCTCCGCGGGCGCGACGCAATCGAAGAAGGCGACGACCTGGAATTCGAAAACCACCTCGTGACAGTCGAAGATTTCAAAGGAACCGTAGTCCAAGACCTAACGCCATTATTTACGTCCACCGTGAAGCGAAAACAGGTGGGTATATCAAATGTCCTCAATATATTGCTCTTATTGACGAAGACAGCAAATCCAAGTAGCAAATACCCTCATAAGCTCGGAAACACCCAACCAGGCGAATCGCCATGGACCTTGGGGGCCTAGCAGTCGGAATGCTACACCGACTCCCCACCAACGTCCCATGACTGCTGCGGCGAGGTTTCCTCAGACGCCCGTACAGCAAAGGCCAACGAATATGGGTATGAGCTTACAGCAGTCCATACGGGCGAACAATAATATCCAACATCCTCATCCATATCAGGGCGGGTCACTAGGTCAAGCTCAAAGCCTCCCCACGAGGATAGAGCCAGCTCAGAGGTCAAATAGAATCTCGAACCCCAATCCGCCAATACAGCAGCTGCGGAAATCAGGTCCGCAAGTATCAGATGCAGCTACATCTTCTACTAGCTATCGGCCTCCGCTCAATGCTTTAGGCGGTCCGCCAAGCCCTAATAGGCGATTAAACCAGCCCTCCAAGCAACAAGCACCCCCGGGGCCTCCTCAGAACCATCGGTCCTCCATTGGGCGCAAGAACGCCCCTTCATGTCCAGCTCCACCCCATGTAAACCGAGGGTCTCTCAACTTGAACGGATTCTCTGATGCGGTCCGACCTCTAAAGTCTCCCCTAAAACATAGTAGGACCAATAATATTTTTTCGAATCCAGCTCCTGTAAACAAAAGCACGCCAGATCTAGTTATAGACACAGATAGTGATGGTGAGCTATTTGGGTCCCCACCCGACTTTAGTATTTCTGCATCTCCTCCACCCGCCCAAGAAACAGACCTGAGACCTGCCAGTGCCTCAAAGCGGTCATTGAACGAGTCTAGGAATCAAGATAATGATCCCCGTGCATTCAAGCCCCCATCTAGGGGGAAGACTATATCCTCGCCCGAAAAAACTCCAAGCAGGGGCCGGGTGGCTATGTCAAACACGGATACGGGTGAAGGCAGCAATTCCCGTATATCTCAACCTTTACGGAACCAGAGGTCTTCTGCTGCTCCCTTGAGAAACCCTCAAGTGGCGGTGGTTGATAGTGATCCAATCACGAGTTCCGGCGATGAAAGTGAAAAGGAGAAGGAGCCATTCGAGCCCCTCGTAACTACTGGTAAAATTCTGCTGGGAAACACCGCAAAACGGAAAAGAACCAAGCTCCTGTGCCAAAGACCTTCTCCGGTGGCCCCAAAAGAACCATCTAGAGGTACAAAGGACCGGGAGAGTGTAGCTAAAAAGCCCAGAAAGGAACCAGCCTCAAAAGCACCTTCTCCGCCCACGGTTACAGACAAAACCCCGAACGAGGATGTAGTTATGGTAGATTTTGCCGATGATGCTCCGATCCCACCTCCCCCGGCAGTAAAGAAAAGCCTAAGCGCTTTCAAGTTCCAGCCCCCGACAAGAGTTTACCAGAACAATAGTGGCGATAAAGGCAAGGGCATTTCAAACGATGCGCAGTACAGAATAGAGGAGAAAGAGGACACGGTTGAATACCAGAAGGAGCACGATATTGGCCCGTGGAGCTCGGAGGCGCTCTTCTTGTTTGATTGGAGGCCGCCGGGTATGAGTGAGAAAGGAAAATAAAATATTAATTGGTTAGCCTTTTGTACATAGGGAAGGCGTTCTATAGTACTAGTATTCATTCTGGTTGGGAATTTTTGTTGTTTTTGTTTTATTGCTCGAAGGACTGAGCCTTTTTCCCTACCCGCATCGAGGGCCGGAGTTTGGCTATTGGCTGGGAAGTAAGCTTTTTTTTCTGCCCCAAGGAGTTTTCTTAGAAAGTGAAGTTAGTGAATCTGTGATGACAATGATTGAATTAAGGTGCTGTTTGATAATCCGAGCCTTGGCGTTGGTTTATGTAAACTTGTAAATACCTCTTCAGATAAATAGAGCCGCAACATCTTAGAAAGGAGATAATAAGACCCACCATCAATATCTTTGATCCATTTAACCATGAGTACTTCCATGCTGTCGCTTTATGCAAGAGTAGAAGTACATGTAAGTATAGTTGTGTTTCATTTCATCAATTCACACTGGCTACAGGTTGCTGAGCAGTGAGCACGCTTGCTGCACGTCAGGTTCTTATGTAGTAGTAACCGTTAATTGAGTACACACGATACAAGTACCCACTTGACGTCAAGGCCCGCTGTAGGAGTATTTGAGGAGCCACTGCGCAGCTTTGGGGGTTGATGCGCTGTAGATCATGCGGGTAGTTATAGGGCTATAGTCAGTCGAGTGATACTTGATGATTGTCACCGGCATCATCAAAAAAGTATTTAAAGATAACAAGGCATGAATCCCGAAGAAAAGGAAAGTATCCCACCATTACCTAGATAAATGTTCAGTCAATTTTCCGGGGATACTTAGTACCCATACCCCGGTGTACCAGTAATCTTGGCATTCAAATAGGACTTGGGGCGAGGAACACACATGGGCGAGTGGCCTAACGGTTACCACTCGCCTTCCGGACGGACACCGAGAGGTTGTGCCTTGCCTTCGGCTACAGAAGGTCCAGGGTTCAATCCAGGGGTGGGGGTTGTAGATATGGCTAGACCATCAATGCAATCTTTTGTTCCTTTTTTGTACAAGTACGGTGACAATAAAGATATTGAAGTGGAGCATCATAAACCAATAAATTCCGTGCCTCGAGCTCGAGCACAGGTCCCCCAGCGACAAGAATAGATACCAGCTACAAGAATAGATACCGCTGAAAGCAAGTCCACTCGACATAATTGGGAATGAAGAGCTTCCGATCTAGGAGCTGTTTTCTTCGAGTAGAGCTTACTGGTTGGTACACTATACATGTAGCCCGTTTACCTTCGGTCTCCGCTACTCTGACTAGACTCTGGACGAGAGAGGTAGGCGACGCTCTACTAGCTACAGTAGTCATGGACTTTTGAACCAGTTGTGAGAGGGCCCCAGCTAGGTGACAATGATATCTCACTACATGTAGCTAGGTGATCGAGAGCTAGACTAAAAGCTATATATTGGGACAGATGACATTTAACGTCATGGAGAGCTGGGGTACATGTAGCTTCTCCTACGAGGTATGTGGATCTGTATTTAAGATAGCCCAGCTAACTTGAATTCGAACTATAGAAGAAAAAAGACAAGTTACATGTACGTAGCAATAATAAAAGCCAGGCCACAGCCCCCCATCCTACGTATTTGTTCAAAGCTACCATGACACGTCTCAGTTTTCTCTTTATGCATATATGACCATTAGACCGCATCAGAATGAAGAAAATAAACTCAAAAGGCACTGTCTCTACCTTAGAAGCATTCTCTTCCTTGACTGCCTAATTCACAACAACTTCCACAACCCACTTTCATTGCCAATGGATGGAAAGCTTTTCGGTATTTGCTGAGTTGAAGCAGGCCGTACAATCTTAAGCTATCATAAGTAAGAACTCAGTTGTTTCAATGCGCAGTGCAGCTGTAGATAGAAGCTTACTTTTTACCCATGTTATTCGGAGAAGTCTTGCCTCCGGATTCTTATATCGCCCCAATAGCTAAACTGCATTCGCAGCTAGGTGGTCTTTATCTACCAAGAAGATATAATTAATACATATTGTTGGAAAGATCGAGTCTATGGGCATATATATAGACCGGATTGCACTCGATTCTTATGAACAACCCTGAAATTGAATCCTACCTGCGATGCTCGAGACTCGTTTCGAACTCTTACAATACTGAACTCGCATACGTACATGTGCATACATTTTCTTGATCTTATACAATGCTGAGTCTTACACTGAGAGGATACTACGTAGGTTGCAATTTTACAGAATTTAACAGATTATACTCTAATATACTCTCCTAGAATACAGAATTTCGAAGAATTAAAAATTTGGCAATTGGCCATTCCTCCGACGCCAGGGTCGGTGTGCTTATTTATGCCAGGGTTAGGTGTAAGGCAGTTGCTACTAATAGCTGTAGCAACAGTCATTACAGTCATTACCGCCTTGACTCCTTCACAACCTCCCACAATACCACACCGACCCTTGATATCAAAACCAGAACCAATGGCAACGATCTACAACCTGCCCGCCGAGGTTATCCTTCTAATCGTCGAAACGCCGTCCTTCCCCATCAATACACTCAACGCGCTCCTCCGCACCAACCGCACTTTCCATGGTCTCCTCACTCCCTTCCTATACAAGCGCGCCTCGAAGCTCGCTTCAAGCCCACTCCACTGGTCCGCCGCCCGTGGCTTCAGGAACAACATTGCGCCTCTTGTTGCCGCCGGATGCGACATCGAAGTCAAAGACTGGACCAATAGGACGCCCCTCATGGCCGCCGCCTTATCCAACCACCTCGACACAGTCCGCGCGCTCCTAGATAACGGCGCAAACATCAATGAGAACTCCGGCCGTTTCAATGATGATGGTACGGCTCTACACCTTGTTGCCCGTGATGGCAGTGTTGAGATGGTAACGCTGCTGTTGGACTACGGTGCGGACGTGAATGTGCGGGAGGCACGCGGGGCGACACCGCTGCATTGGGCGGTGGATACGGGAGGACAGGGATGTGAGGGTGCGTATGAGCCGCTTTTGGGGTATGGTGCAGGGAGCAATACAGTGCGTGAGAGTGTGGTGGAGCTGCTTCTGGACCGTGGTGCACAGATTGATACAGATCGGGAACAGGATGGAGAGACGGCATTGAGGATGGCCATAACTAGGGGAAACATGCGCATGTTTGAAATGCTGTTGAGAAGGGGGGCCAGCATCGAGACACCCGCACGGCTGGGGGAGACGGCGCTGATGTCGGCTGTAGCCTGCGAAAGGATGGGTATGGTGAGTGCTCTACTGGAGAGAGGGGCAATGATTGGGTGTAGGAATGTTTACGGCGAGACAGCACTGCATTACGCAGCAGTACAAACAGACTCTAAAGAGATGCTGAAGGTGCTTCTGGATGGGTACGAAAAGAGTTTAGAGGTTAAGGAGGCCGGGTACATCGATACACAGAACGACGAGGGGAATACCGCCCTTCACCTAGCTACTCGTGACGAGGCCAGGAGGATGCGCATCGAGGCGGGGAAGGCCCTTCAGCAACTCCAGGCAGAGGAACCCACCAGCGATGGCGAGGCGAGGATGTGCCCCGCCTATGTCATGCAGAAAAGAGCAGAGACAAATCTCACCGCGTCCGTCCGGCTCCTCCTCGAAAGGGGCGCCAACCCAGACTGCGTCAACGAGATTGGGCGGCGACCTCTTCACAACGCGGCCGCGAACGGATACGTCCAGATGGCGCAAGTTTTACTAGACTATGGCGCAGAGATTGATGCCACCGACGTGGACGGCGTGACGCCGCTGGTTCGGGCAGGAAGGGTGAGTTGGACGGTGAGGAGGAATCCTGAGCAGCTGGAAGGTAGGATTGGTGTCGTCAGACTGCTGCGTAAGCGAAAGGCGATCTGTGATGGCATCCAGGAGTGGGAGAAAGGCAATCAGGCATTGTCGGACGCACTGGACGAGTATGATGATTGTGACATGAGCAGCAGCAGCAACAGCAACAGGAGCAGGAGAACAGTCAAAGCAAGCCGCGAGAATCCTGTACGGGGAGGATGAGGATGACGATGTGACGTCGGATCTTTAAGGGGCATCATATATCGTCAGAAGCATGCAAGAGCCGTATTTCTGGGTACGGTACGGCATGGTATGGTGTAGGTGTCTAGATTCGCTTTTTCTTTGTACTGATGTCGATCTTCATTTTTGATTTGATTGATATTCACAGCTTGTCAGACTGGCCCGTCTCTGCACCGTCTGCACATCGGCATGGTATCAATCGAGTGGTGATATACATGTAAATCTATAGCTGCCGTCTGTGCATGTCGTATCAATAAACATGATTTTATTTTATTTCTATTATTCTCCAGCCTCCTGAAGAGCAGGCAGGCATGCAATGCCAATGATTCCCTCCTTTGCTTAATTACGCCGCCAAGAGGCCTGTCCCGCCTTTGATGGAAGTTCCAGGATTTCCTTCTTTCTAAGGGTCCACAATTGAATGCCATCTACCGAGCTAGCCCTGGCCCGCAAATCAAGTATCCACAGATATGGGAATGTTGGTTATGGACCCCGTTGTTGTTGCGCCGAGACATGCATCTAGCGAGCGAGCGAGTGACCATCCATGCAGCCGACAGAGCCGGTACAGCGCTTCCTGGTTTCTGGTCTGCTCTGCTCCCGTCACACCAACTCACTCACTCTCGTCATCAAGGCAAGGCAAGGGGTGGGAAACGACGTAACACAGCACCGGCACACAGCAGCCAACGGTGATCGCGGAGGTTGCTCTACTTGCCGTTGGGCATCTTTCCTGCCTAGATACATGTTCTAGCTAGGAGTATCTACATGCACTCTCTTATCTGCGGCTCCCCGGATTCCAAGGTTTCGGGTACCGGGGGGGGTGGGGGGGCCTAGCTGGATGGGGGGCTAGGGGCGGGTCACTAGTACCTACATGTACTTTACTAAACCCGCCACCGGCGACACACAGCGTCATGGAGGGAGATAAGAGGGGGAGGCGAGATCTTATCAATCGCTGTTGTGATTTTAGAATGCATGACGAAATGGCTGGGCACGAGTGACTTTTCGTGAGTGGGCCGGGGAGTGCGAGGAGAGGGGAGTATGTAATCCGTGCATCACGGTCATTGACAGGGTTGAGCGGAGCCCCGCAGAACAAGTGGGGTGCGCTTTCTCTCTACATCGTGAGCTCTCTCCAAGCCAGCCAGCCAGTATCTACAATTTCTACTGCAGAACCCTACCAATTGCCCAATTGCCCCCCATGGCCACAGCCACCACCCTCCGCGTCGGCTTCGTGCCCGGTCCGTCCCTCGCCCCTTCCCCCGCCCCTCCTCCCCTCCCCGCCCCGCCCCGCTAACCCCCCACACCCGCAGAACACTTCTCCACCCCCCTCCACTTCGCACAAACCCACTCCTTCTTCACGCGCCACAACCTCGCCATCACCCTCATCCCCTTCCCCTCCGGCACGGGCCACATGATCAAGTCGCTCGCCTCGCACGAGCTCGACCTCGCCATCGGGCTCACCGAGGGCTGGATCGCCGCGCTGGGCAACGGCGCGCCAGACTTCCGCCTCATCGGAAACTACGTCAAGTCGCCGCTGTGCTGGGCCATCTCGGCCGGCGCGCAGCAGACCAAGGTGAACGCTGTGGAGGACCTGAAGGGCGGGCGCCTGGGCGTGTCGAGGGTCGGCAGTGGCAGCTATGTCATGGGCTTTGTCCTCGCGGAGGAGCGCGGGTGGTTGGAGGGTGGGAGGGAGCCGTTTGAGTTTGTGGCGCTGGATACGTTTAAGGGGCTGAGGGATGGCGTGAATGGTGGGAAGGCGGAGGCGTTTATGTGGGAGGTGTTTACGACCAAGTACATTTCCCCCCCTCCCCTCTCTGGCTGCGCGGTGAGGGTGCTGACGGCGTGGTAGAAAATACTACGACAACAACGAGATCCGCCAGATCGGCGAGATCTACACGCCCTGGCCGTCCTGGCACATCGTGTCGCACAGCGACCTCCTGCACACCAACCCGGCGGCCGTGAGCGAGTTCCTGCAGGCCGTCAACGAGGGCATCGAGTACTTCAATGTGCACTACGACGAGGCCGTCGAGTACATCTCGACGCAGCTGGACTACTCGGCGGAGGACGCAAGGGCGTGGCTGGGGACGGTTGAGTTTGCCGACGACGTGAGGGTGGTGGAGCAGAAGATTGTGGAGAAGACTGTTGACATTCTGACGAAGGCCGGGGTGGTGAAGGGGAGTGTGAGGCCGGCGGAGATGGTGGTGAGGGTGTAGGGGGGATTGATTGATTGATTGATTGATTGATTGGTTGAGTACTTCATTAATAGGGTGTAGGGAGGACATGTACTTTGCTTGTAGGTTAGCTGTAGCAGTATGTAGCTGTGGAGGGCAGAAATGGACTCCGATGCAGACAGTTCTGTGCGCGGTTGGGACAGTGCGTGGTGGAGTAGAGATAGCCATTTCCACGGCGTTACTACGCCGAGTGATAACCCATGCAGCAACAAGAACAACCCCCGGCCGCGGCCCACCCGCAGTCCGGCCGGCGCTCCCATCGCAGTAAATACAAACACCAACAAAAGCACAAAAGAGAAAAAAAAAAAAAACATAAAAACGCCCGCCTACATAAATAGCCAACATCGATACGCTTCCCATTGCAACAACCCGAACCCGTCATTACATGCCCTGCCTTCTGGTATCGAAATAACATCATCATTATCATACATCATAAAACAAAAGAGAGACACCACACGCTACAGATCAAACTCCGCATCATCACCATCCTCACCGCCGCTCCCCCTCACCATCCGCTCCCTCGTCTCCGGATCCAGCCTCTCAAACCACTCTGCAATCGCCGCGACATACGCCTCCTCGCCCTCGCCGTACTCCACGGGCGGCCCCGTGATCGTGGGCCGCCCCTTGCCATGTTCGCGCCACACAGCCCAGGCACTGTTTGGTGTCGAGGTGGCGACGAAGTCGTGCTTGTGGGTTGTAATCTTCAGGGGGAGGGGTGGGGTTAGCCAAAGCGGTTTGAGGCACAAGAGGGGGAGATCAAACCTTGAAAGAGCGGAGGAGCACCACGTCGCCGAGCTGCACGACCGGGAGGGCCTCCTTGTGCGGCCGGAGCACGGTGGCGGTCATGCCAGCGGGGAAGGAGGAGTCCACGATGCGCATGGAGATGTAGTAGTCCTTCTGGCCGCGCTTTGCGCGGCCGATTGGCCATGAGCGCGTTACGACGGCGATGAGGTCGACGACGGCGCCCCATGTTAGTGAGACGAGGGCTGGGAAGTCGGATAGCTGCTCTGTTGTTAGTGGTGCGACTTCTATCTATGTAGGATGGGTGTAGGTGTAGAGATCTGCCTTACGTTCGTTGTGACGCCGCTCCGGAACCCGAGCTCGATCCCGAATGTCTCTTCCTCCTCATCTTCTTCCTCCTCTTCCCCCCCTTCCTCCTCGTCATCGTCGTCCTCTTCATCGTCGTCGTCATCGTCTCCCTCCATCGGCGTCGAGAAGCCCGAGAAGCCCTCATCCGTCCCACTTACGCTCTCCACCTCCCTCGGCACCTCCGCGCTCTTCTTCGGCCTGCCAAAGTACGCATCAATCTCATTCGGTATTGGCTCCTCCCTCATGCCCCAAAGGCTGCTCCGCCGCCGTATCGGGCTGCTGATATCCCCGCCAAGAACACTCTCATACTCCTGGCTCATAAACTTCGGCGGCGCCGACGTCGGCGGGAACTGTATGCCCCTCTTCTCCGTCTTCGGGCTCGGCGTCGGCAGATACAGGAACGGCGTCTTCGGCTGGTCCCCCTCCTCCTTCACCGCAACCTCGGGGGTGACCACGCTAGTCTCCAGCGTCAGCTTCGAGCGCAGCGGCGTTGCCCGCCGCGGCTTCAGCGACTCGACGCTCTTGAGCGGTGACCTGCCGAGCGTGCGCGACTTTGTGGTGCGCCGCCGGAGCTCGTTGTCGCTGAACTCGTCGAAGAGGCTGTCCTTCTCGGACTCGTAGTCGCTGGGGAAGCGGTCGTCCTCGCTGACGCTGCCGCGGCGCTGGTCCGCGAGCTTCTGTGCGTCGGAGGGCCCGGGGGTGGTCGGTGGCTTTGTGCCGCCGAGCTTTGTGGGGTTTGTGGGCGGGTTTGTGGAGCTGTCGTGGTCGACTTCGGCGACGGGGACTATGACGACTTCGGGCGCGCCGGGGAAGTCGTCTAGTGAGTCGTTTCGTAGTGTAGAGCTGCCCGTAGAGCCCTGCGATATGTCTTCCGCGCCCGCGGCGTCGCCGGCGCCTTCTGTGTCTTGCGTACGCGAGTTGTAGTCCATGTAGTCCAAGCCGGCCAGGCCTCTCCCGAGGAATGGGGAAATGATCGGCAGCTGCTCACTTGGCACCGGCTTGAGATCTGGTGAATCCGGCGTGTCCCCCACGTCAAAGTTTGTATTGAGGGCCAATTGTGGCGGCGGCGGTGGTGGTGGTGGCATATCTACATGATTTGGATGCCCGGGGCGCTCAATTACCATGTCCTCCTCCCCCGCCATGCCGTTCATGAGCGCCTCCTCTAGTGTCCCATCGCTCTCGACCGTAGCTGCGTCGCCGTCCTCCTCAAAGCGGTACGAGTTGCTGAACCGGGCACGCTTCTTCCTGTGCCCAAGGTCGTACTCGTCTACCTCGTCAAATAAACCCTGTTCGCCAATTGCAAACACGTTCGCAGGCTCCCTGTCGGGGGAGGAGGCTAGGCGGCGCTTAAACAGGCCCGGGGTCACCCACTCGCTCTCATTGAACTGCGCCGGCCGCACCGGAGGTGTCGCCGGATGCGCCGTAGAAGGCGAGTACGACGACTCCTCCACCACTGCCGGCGACAGCTCCGGTTCCGGCCCCGGGTCGGCGTCGGCGTCGGCGCCGGCGTCGGCATCGGCATCGATATTGATGCTATTCCATGTATCGCCCGATTTGATCTGTAGCGCGCGCGCGGATTAGCTCCCAGCTGTGTCTCCCTTTCGTGTATCCGCCCTTTCCCTAGCTTCATGGCATGTATACCTTCATCGTGAGCTTCTTCTCGAAGCTCACCGCCCACGGCACGTCCCTCGAGCTCGCGCTGGCCAATTCCTCCCAGTGCGCGCCGTCAAGCGAGATGCACACGTGGTCGCCGCTCTGCAGGCCGCGCGCGTCGACGCCGGTCGCGGCGGGGCCGTGGAAGTTGACGCGGAGCTGGCCCTTTGAGAGGCGGAGGATCGGATTCTGCTCGGAGGCTACGATGGAGAGCGTGCGGCTGGACGACGAGAAGGGCCATATTAGTGTGACGACGGCGGTGATGTAGGTGGAGGAGGAGGAGGAGGAGGAGGCGGCGGTGCTGCTACTGGTAGGGCTGAGAGAGGCGAGGGGGAGCGATGTCAGGGTGGTGGGCCAGTCTGAGGAGGGGGGTGGGGAGTCGGCCATTGGGGATGTTTGTCTGAGATGATTGTCTGAGATGATTGTCTGAGATGATTGATTGTGGTGGTGTGGATGGTTGTGGGAGTGGCGGTGTAGTGGTGTGGTGGGAATGGTTATGGGAATGGAATGGGAATGGGAATGGTGGTGGTGGTGGTGGTGGTGGTGGTGGTGGTGGTGGTGGTGGTGTTGGGGGAGCTGAGTGTTACTATGCTCGTGGTTCCTTGCTTGGTGCTCGCACAAAGACAGACAGATACCCAGACGGGGACTGACGGGTACGTCTGTGTGTGGATAGCTGAGTCTGGCCCTCGCGGTGGGCTGCGGCTGAGCTGGGCGGTGTGGGCGGGAAGCTCCGGGGCCTTGAATATGTAGGGATAAGAGGATAGATAATGGCAATAGGGGTGTGCGGAGAGGCGATTGATGAATGGATGAACGGACGGATGTATGGATGCAATCAATCAATCAATCAGTCAATCAATCAATCAATCAATCAATCAGTACAACCACAGCTCGAACACTCAACCCACTGATTGCGGTTGATCAGCCCAACAACCCTAGACACATGTAAGCCGGTGGTGGTGAATACTTTGCTGGCTGGGCGCTGGTGCTGGTGCTGGTGCTGCTGGTGGCTTTGTGCTCCACGCCGCAAGTGAACTGAACTGCAATCGCGATTACTACATCATGACACTGTAGCACATGTGTGTATTTGCATCCGTGTCTGTGGTACACAGCAGAAGCAGGCCTCCCTCACGGTGAGATAAGGTAAGCTTAAGCCCGTCCTCCTCTTCCCCTCCTCGCTCGGCGTGCAGACGGTGTGGAACGAGAGGGCGTGACCCCTCCCGCCTCCTCTTGTTCCCCTGAGGTCTCACTCACACACTAGCACTCATCCGCACGAGTGATTGTCTGTGAGGTTAGACACCCGCACCCACACACACACTCGCACACACACTCTCACTCCCGCACCACCACCACCACCGTCGCTCACCGACCGACGACCACCGCAACCACCGCAACCACCGCTAGTAGTAGATAAACAAGTAGAAATACAAGCAAAGTAGAATGAAGCCCGCACCGCCCAATGTTCCCCCCTCCCGCGCACGTTGCCCACATTCAATCCCGCCCCCCACAGTCCCGCGTCCCAAAATAACCATAACGCGTAAATACACTCGCCATTGCAACAACCCCGCAACCCACCCACGCGCCGCGTCGTCATGTCTCGTACCTGCAGGAGCAGCAGCAGCAGCAGCAGCAGCGGCGTCCAACAACCCGAGTTGAAGAGGAAGAAGCAAGCACGCAAAGCCCCAGAAATTGATCCCTTCTTTGAGCCGGTAGCGAAGCGGTTGAGAAGCCAAAGCAAAAGTCGCCAACGGGACAGGCGGCTTTCTTCGGCGTCTGCAAGATCTGCGCTGGCACCGACAGTTGAGGAAACCGAAGAAACGCAGTCTACACAGGAGGAGATCCCGGACTCGCTCGCATACCTGGAGGCCCCCCCACTGAGCCCTGCACCCGTGACAGCGTCCGCGGAGGCTCTGCCCAAGCGTCGACAGGAGTTTGAGGTGGTGATAGAGAAGATACCTGGCTTTGATAGATCACAATACACAAGCTACAATTCCGATCCTGAGTCCCCTCCTATGCAAGAAGAGCCGCCCTCAGTGCCTCCCCCCCAAATTCCCCCGCAGCAGCAACAGCAAATCATAGTAGAAAGCTTCACAAAAGTATCCCAGCTCGAACGCTCCTCCCAAAGCGTTCTCCTGGTCTACGAAGAAAGCGTGCTAGTTCCCGCCTCGCAAATCGTCACCCCCACCTCCTCAGGCACAGAACCGGGGGAGGAGGGCCCGGGCAGCACCATAGTACCGGAGACCCCACAGCAGCCTCAGCCTGCAGCGGCAGGCCACAACAGCAACACTCGAAAGAGGCCGCATATTGCACGCGGCCAAGAGGGGACAACAACTCTACTACCACCACCAGCACCACCAGCACCACCAGCACCACCAGCACCACCACCACCACCTGCTCCTCCACCTCCACCTCCAGTAGAAGCACAACTGCTGCTGCGCACGCCGGCACTGGCCAATACGCAGTCACAGCCCGCCCCGGGCGCAACGGCAATTCCTGCAGCTTCTGCGAAATCAAAAGAACATATAAAAGCTATAAAGGCGCCAGTACCCCAGCACCCAAAACACTCTGAAGTCGTCGAAGCTGCCGTACAGCAGCCCACCAGGATATCGATCCCAGCAACAGCAACAACCACGAGCACCACTGCCGCGACTAGCGCTGTCATCAACCGGGATCCTCCTGCATTAGCTACTAACGAGAGTGGGCCACCCCAAGTCTTGGCAGCAACGGCAACAGCAACAGCAACGGCAACAGTAGTAGCAGCAGCAGCAGCAGCCCATCAAACACCGCCGCCAGGGCCAACAGCTCCGTCAAGCCCCCCCACCAACCCCCAATCCGCCCAACTCTCGCCCGCCCCCGCGCCGCCGATAGCCGCATTCTCGAGCTGGTTCGTCAACCGGGAGCCAAGACCCGCGCCCAAGGTCTCTAAGCGGCGGCGGAAAGAAGCACCACAGAAAGACGCCGCAGAGGACATGTCCGGCGCCCAGGCACTCCTGCTGCGGGAGCGCCTCGCGAAAAGGAGGGAGGAGCGCAACGCAAAGATCCTGACTGCGAGGAGCGCACGGAGCCAGTTCTCGCCCGTTCCTGCGACCCCGCCGATTCCAGCGGCGCTGCCGGCTCCGTCGACTCCGCCGTCGAATCCAGCAACGCCTAGTACTGTGGTGGGAAATGGAGTGGGGGGTGTAATGCCCGGGAGCCCTGCTGTTACTACGCCGGCGGAGAGCGTGGCCGTGAAGGAGGAGGCTTCGGCCGACGATATTCAGATAGATTTGGCCGTCATTGAGGATGCGCCCGCCCAGGCAGCAGCGATACAGGATGTAGAGATACAGGATGTGGCGATACAGAGTATAGAGATAGAGGTACAACCGCAACCACAACTAGAACCGCAGCTAGAACCGCAACCGCAATTAGAACCAGAACCACAGCCGCAATCACGACAGCAATCGGAGCCGCAAACGAAGATGCAATCGCCATTCAGAGCCCCATATCTCGGCCCGGCGGAATACGCAATCGGCCTGCCTCTACGTACAAAAACCGTCACCCCCAAGGCAATCGACCAGAAAACAGCATATCTCACTTCAATCATCGAAAAGCACGGCGAGATCAAACGATATCTCTCCAACCCCTACGGCGCAGACGCTGATCTCGTAAGGACCATGGAGAAGATCCTGGAGAACAGCGGCAAGATTGCTACGCACCCAGATCTACTGATGGACAAGATTGAGGTCTCGGATGCCGCGGCAGGCAAGGAGGCCGACTACCACGCGGCCATGAGCAGCAAGTTTGTGTTTTTGCGTGCGTTCTTGGTGGCGGTGAAGCAGCAGCATCTGAAGATTGTGATTGTGGCAGAGAGAGGAACGTTAATCGTGAGTACACACCACCACTCTTTATTCGAAGTGGTCTAATGAGGATCAGGATATGCTGGAAATATTCTTGAGGGGGATTAGAATCGCCTACACCAGGCTGGATCAGCTTAGTACGTTGCCAAAGATACCGCACGACGATAACGAGGGCCTAGTGAGAGTATTTCTTCTGCCGAGCTCCAAAAGCGGTGCTGTTGTGGTAAGTGTTGATTCTAGCCCCGATAGGAGGGGAAAACCAAAGCTTACTTTTTTTTAGAATGTGGCCGACTGTCTCATTGCTATGGACTCAAGTTTCGACGCAAGCCTACACGATGTTCAGAAATGCCGTAGTAACTCCTATGAGGCGAACAAGCTTGCACCGGTTTTCCGATTAGTTGCCATAAACACAATTGAGCATCTCCGCCTCTGCAGCCCGCCTGGCCAGGAGATTCCACTCTATGTCTACATCGAGACGCTGAAGAATCTACGGCAACAAGTGGGCATTGCAACACAGGACTACGGGTCCGCAATCTCTCGCGCGCCAACAAAGATCACGAAATGGCTGCAGAAGAAGGCGGACGGGAAATTGGAGATCCCCGAGATTCCGGAACTGCCGCTCTTTGAGATAACAAGTCACGCTCAGCCTACAGCTAGCACTAGCACTAGCACTAGCACTAATAATTCTTCTGGCAACGAAGGGAGCGATAAGAGAAAAAGACAGGTAAGACCCCAATTTGATTTTATATCCATTCTGGCTGAGTAGCTCATTGGACCGCGTAGGAAACACAGACTGTGGTATCATCACAACAAGATGCTAAACGAACGAGGGTCAATGATCCCGAGCCAATGGGCCCTATTCATGGGCTTGTTGAGAGCCCGTCACCGCATGCAGCTGGGGCTGTCATGCAAGTTAGTGACTCTATGGCGAGCCAAACACCAATCGATCCGCATTCACTGAGTGTCCCAATGCAGACAGACGATGAAAACAACCTTACTATGTCGGAATCTGTGGCTATGGATATTTCTGAGGGTGATCAGACGGCGATGGAAGATAACAGAACGGAGCACGGTGTGACGGCTATGGAGACAGAGAGTAGTATGGATCATAGCGCAACGGCCGAGGAGAAAGACGAGGAGGAGGAAGAAGTGGAGGATATACCAAAGGATAATCTGGTGACGTTCCCTGAAATCTCGAGCACAAACGGTTTGAATATAGAGTCATTGGTTAGTTTCTTCTTATTTCTTTGGAGTGTGTGGGGGCGCCTAACTTGTGTAGTCTCGGGAACAACTGGTTGCTGCGTTCAGGAGACAAGCAGAGGACTTACAACAGTGGATGGAGTCCACTGGAAGACTCCAACTTCGACATGACGAGTTGAAGAAGAACCTCGCCGAGGCCAGAAAAGAGTTGAAGAAGTCCCAGAAGACCCAAAGGGACGCAGAAAATCGTAAAGAACACATGTCGAAAGAGTTGACGAAGGCGAGGAACGAGCGAAATAAGGCTGATGAAGAATTAAAAGAAGCTCGCGCAAGACTTCTGGCTGGACCGCCCGACAAGGCTGCACTCGAACAATCGCGTGCGGAGAATGAAAAGCTGAATGAGAAACTCCGTTCGGTGGAGGGCAAGTTGCAGGTACGAGACAAGGAGTTCGATTTCGTACGGGAAAAGTACCAGGAGGCCTCAAATGGCGCACTTGTGCTGAAGGTGGATAATACAAGGCTACAAGAAGAGAATTCGGTCCTGGAGAGAAGGGGTGCTGATGTCGTCGTGCAACTACGAAGAATGCAACATGAGAGCCAGGTTCAAGCTCGGGATAAGCAGATAGAGAGCCTGTCACTTCAACTCAAGGAACGGGAGGAGCGTATAGCGCGGCTGGAACACGAAAGACAAGTAAACACAAGAACCCGAGGCTCAATAGGGATGCGGGCGTCGAGTGTCTCCATTCGGGGGAGCCCAATTCAATCAAGGGCAACTTCGCCAGCAACCGGGCCAGGGACTTATGGCAGGGAATCTTCTTCCACGCATCCCCTGAGAAATGGTTGATCCTTTCTCTTTCGCGTTTTCATCTGTTTGCTTTTTTTCCAATTTGTATCCTTTTTTTTGATGATTGCTCTAGAAATGCGATACGAGGTAGGGAGGGGGGGGCAGGGAGGGTGGGGCGGGGGGGAAGATTACTGTGCCGTGCTTGGGTTTATTTAGGGAAGGAGGGGGATTCATTTTCATGTATTTACCAGTAAGTAAATCCTTGAATACATGGCGTTGTCTTTCAGGATAATACGCTCAGGAGAAGGAAACGCGACATCCTACCAAGGATTAAGTTGGTAGATGCGCTTTAAAGGTTATGGCATCGTACATATTCATCGATATCATGGCATAGGGGTTTCTACTTTTCCCGATTGTAGGTTTTTTCAAGAAATTGAATCCCATACGGTAACGGTAACTCCTTTTAGCCATCTCGAGCATGAAACTTCCCCAGATTATTGGGCAAATGCCTCACGATGACGATCCGATTGCGAATATCAATACCAGGACACCGTGAATCGTCCGAATGTAATTGGCCACCGCTCTGGTTTATGGGGAATCTTCACTCTTCAAGGCAGCTTGACGTTGTTTCACATTCAGAACATGGGCTACAAGCGTGCAAGCGTACTTTATTTTTTTCGATTAGGGACTACGGATGGGGTTTGCTGATACAGCCATATCCGGTTCCTAGTTAACCACAATTGTGGCATCTGCAACGGCTGTCTAGACATTTTTTTTTAAACCCTTTAAAACCCCTTTTGAGGAATTCCAGGACGCTTGGCCAAAAAAAGATGTTTATCATTAAACAGGATGGGCCAGCAACGCCGCCTGCGCACTGTGTCTAAGACTACATGTACTCTGAGGGAAAGTTCTTGTACCAGCTACAACCTGCATACCGTACCGTATTGATATACCCAGCATGCCTGTAAGTAACGATTTCTTGGCAAGACCATGAATAATGGGTCTTGGCATGGGCCTATTAGGTAGAGAGTACTGCAAGCGCTGCTGTAATGACGACGTAGCAAATACAGAGATATCTACTGCTAGTTCGCATCATGGCTGCTATCGCAGCGTCAACTCTACAAAAGTAAAATGGCATGGTGCCGGTTTTTGACAGAACAAACAGCTTATCCCGGATTAGCGTCATGATTCGAAACCGGACGATGTGGTATGGAAGCCAAGACTTAAGCGTTTTTTTTATCAAAGACTTGGATAACTGCAGCCACCCCCCACAAAATAAGGGTCCAACGCCGATCATGACATCACATGTACGCGAGACCCGCAATGGACTGCTGCAACCTCCACCGTGCGTTTTCAAGGGAAAGGAAAGGGCGATGCTCCATCGAATTGTTCGAAATTCGCTTTCTTCAGCGGGTAGAATGTTGACTATTCACCCCTTTTTCCGTAATATGGCGCCAACCAGATTAGGTCAGCGAGCGTCCCCCCCACCCCCTCCCACGGTCATGACGATTTGCAGGGAAACCGTGTCTATGAAGCAGAAACGCCCTGTCGTCCGCTTATCCTTTTGGTTTACACAGAACTCGTGAGCTCACTCTTGGGAAGGGGCACATAGGTGCATGCAGGTTGCATAGGGTTCAATGAGACGCTTAGCCGAAAGTGTGGCAAGATCGTTGATTGGATGGACATCACCAACTTTCCATAAGGTTGATTGACGTCTACTCTATCACAAACTGTATCTACGTAGAGTACCTGTCGTTGGTGGTGGTCGTGGTGGTGGTGGAGGTGTGTGGTAGAACTTGTGGCCTAAGCATTCATGTATATAAAAGCTTGTTCCCCGGTGCATGATTTCTCACATCAATCACGCTTCATCAACTATCACCAGCGACTGCTACTTACTACTACTACTACCACCACCACCACCACTACTGCTACCTACAACCGGTACCCTTGTGCTCTTTTAACAATACTCCAAATACCTTTCGAGCAATTAAATTGACGGCTTCTTACCTTTCCACACAAAAAATCCTCTTCTATCATTGCCCTTCCATCCTCTATATTATTTTAATACTAAATACCAACACCAATCAATAAAATGACTGTTTCAACAAGAATGGCCTCTTCTTCAAACATGCAATCCACTAGCTCATATATGAACAATGGAGGACACCACTCTGAGCAGAGCTACGACGCCTCATATGATAATCAGAACCAAGACGATCCCATGAGCAAGTACGCCAGGTATGTCGTCTAGTCCCTTAATGTTCAGTCCAAATTCAAATTAGAATCATGAACTAATTTTTCATATAACAGGATACTTTTCGAGCACACCCGCAGGCAGATGGACAACGCCACACATTCCATCCGCGCTGGATCAGACGAACAAAAGTCGACTATATCGCGCGAGAGCCTGACTCACAGTCATAGTCAAGGTCAAACTTCAGTTGCCTAAAAAGCCACCTTGTTCTCATTCGTATCAGTTCTGTAATAGTAGTATATATTTTCCATTCATGTTTTGAGACTCGCATTTGGTTCGGTCGGGATTGAGCTCTTGATGCTATTTTCTATCGTTATTCTTTTTTTTTTTTTTTTGGGGGGGGAGTCCGGTTAGGTTACGGTTTTCTTAGTTATCCCCCTTCAACTGCGTGGTCTGGGGGTATCACATTTGTACGAATTCCCTCATATACATAGATCCAAAAGCGAAGAGGTTTTGGCTTTGAATAGAAAAAATATTTACCATCATTATCCAAGTTCGCTCTAGTGTAGAAAGATCGACCTGCTGCGGAGTCAGCAGGTAAATACTGGTAGACTAGTCCCCAAAATAATACATTCAAGGAGTATTAAAAATAGTAAAATGAAATGGCGGCGCTGGGTAAGAGGGGAATATGACCTCTATTGTCATATTAAGTACAGAACTCATTGACTAGCACAAACCTGACCCATAATACCAGGCCCAACCTTAAAAGACGCCAGATACAGCAAAAGAAACTTGGGAAATAATAAAACTCCATTCTGATAGTCCCCATGGGATGAAAGGAAAATAAAGAAGAAATCGTAGTTACCGCATCACGAAATGGTGCGGCTATGTGACCACACCTTCACCGTCGTGACCGTTTCGAAATGGTAGGGTTATTCTCCTATTAGATTGTGGAGTGCTGTTGGGTGTCTCCTCCAGATTTTTTGGCTGAAATACAACCTTATCTGCGACCCGTACCATGTTGCGCTCACCCAGATTCCTATCGGATGCGAAAAGATCCCCTAGCTCGCCTTTGAACCTTTCGAACCCAGATTCTTGGCCCGCAGTTATGGGTTCAGAGCCTGTATGCGTGTCTTGCATGTCTTTATCCTGTTCTGAGTCCTCCACACCCTTCATCAGGTCTGGAGAAGGTTTGCTTCCTTCCGCCATATTTTGGTTTGAACTCCCATTTTCATTCAACTCTTGGCGAGAGACATTCTGTTTCGACAACACTGCCTCTTGTTCGTTATGTAATTGAACGAAAAGATGGAAAAGCTTCTCACGCATCCTCTTAATTTCTTCTTTGCGCCAAAACGCTGTATCAGATACGCGATCCGCTTTTGCGAGAAATAAGGTGGTGAATTCAATTGGTTGCTCGAAAAATAACTCGACGTAGTGTAGTAGAAATAACCCACAGTCGTACCAGTTGGTCTGACTGGGCACCTAATCAACGGCAATTAATATACTGTCATCGCGTAGATAGCATAGCACTAATCTGTTACCTTGCCAAAGGCAGCATGAATGTCACCGGTATCAATCCTTAAATTTCGCTTTTTCTGTGCTTCGGCCACTAACCACTCTCGAAGATTTCTGATCGTTCCGTTATGGGCTGTTGGGCCAAATCCCATAGAATCGAGTATGACTATAGATGGTCTATAAAATGTAAGCTTTAAACGCTTATTTTTCTTTATTCCGGAAAACCTACGTATCAGGTGGCATGGCGTTTTTTATTTTCTTCAGCGGTGACTTGGCTTTAGCCTTTAGCTTGCTCCTGCCTTTGAATTTAGATCTCTGTATGGAAGAATCTACGTCGATGATTTCTGTGCCATTAGTATTGGCCGTTCCTTCGTTCTCCATGGGTGACTCCACATCGAGGGCCATATGTTCGAGATTATCCTGTGTTGCCACAATCTCTAAATCATCATCATCATCATCACGTGCCATTGACACGAGTGATTCTGCAACACCACTAGTATCCAAAGTATTTGTTGAAAATACATCTGGGCCATCACTTTTAGATTCGATTAATGTTTGACTAGATTCTAAGTCGATTGAACCACCTCCACCAGGCGAGTCTAAAGCCTTGTCGCTTATCTTTCGTCCAATGTTGCAAAGGTTGCAAATAATGGCTAGATACCAGTGTGTCCTGCTGCAAGTTAGACGTTGGTACTTCATAAATACAGAAAAATACCTACGATTCATTTATTGGGATGATAATATAACTGGTTTTGAATATGTCTACTTTTGCAGTCCATTTGAGAACTGAATCAATGTCCCGTTTCCTAATAAAGTGTAAGAAGGATTTCCTGCTGGGGATTCTAGGCCGACCTACTTCTTGTCATCTCTTTTGGTCAATCGCTCGTAAAAAAACGTGTTTAGGAAATAGGTTTCCTTTGCTACTTCAGGATTCTTGTGACCAAGTTGAACCTCTATATATCTGCAAACCAGTCAGTCTTAATAACGAAAACTGAGGGGAAGTTAGTCATACTTTAGATAGAAATTGATAATATTGTCATTCAAATATGAATTACTGTTAAGTCTCTTTAAATCATCGTAATCAATGACCTCTTTTCTAGGACCATTAGGGGGATATACAAGTGGAGTTTCCCATGGTGGCTTGGGCAATTCCAACTTTGGTTTCGGTGACTGCGTTTCTATCGGAGAAGAATATTCGAATTCCTCCGTAGAGGGCGCTCTAGGCCGCTTGGAATTTTCATTCTCTACCCTGCACGCTCTAGTTCTTCTTGGGCTTCGCCTTAGGACCGGAATTTCGACTTTAAAGTTCCTTGATAGCTTTTTGGTTTCATGGGTATTGTATCGGCGAGTAACTTCAGTCTCTTGTGGTTCAGAAGTATTCGCCTGGCGGCGGTCTTCCCAATCTTTGAGCTTATTAGACATATTGTCGAGTGTTTTTCTATTATTGTCAGTTACTGACCCACTAGAGAGTTCCGTATCACACATACTCTTCTGCCTCCGAAGGCATGACTCCAACATTCCTAAAGGCGGATTTGCAGTCTTCAATATCCTCAATGTCTTCTAAGACAAAAATCACTGTCCGATCCGCTTCACTCGTGACTCTCTGCGCAATTTGAATTGCAAATTTTCGAATAGGCGTGTTGACCTGGAATAGTTGTCAAAATTAAATACCACAAAGTACAAATTTTTGGTAATAGACATACATATAATTTTTTTATTGCTTTATGATCAGTTAGATCGATTTTTCGCACCCTTTCCTTTCCCTGAAAACATTCTATCTCTGGGCAAGGCGATATCCGGATCTGGATGGATAAATCGGGCGAATCCTCTTTGGAATAGGATTCTAAGCCTGCCTGAAGGCAAAGAAGGCGAAAGTTTTTACACTGGCCTATGTATTGTTCTCGAGGAGGCTTGGCGGATCTTTTGTAGGTTTTCGCCGACCATCTCATTTGGGAGAGGGTTTTGCTATCCCCACCCCGTGAGCTCTCTCCGCCTCGCGAGCTCCAGCGTCCCCTAGACGACTAGATTGGATTAGCGCAATCTTTCATACCTCTTAATTCGCGTTATAACGTACCGAAGTTGTCCCCCTTTTAAGCAGTTCTGGAAGCTGGTTAATGCTGTTTATGAATCCTTCATCTCCTCTAAGTTCCTTTTTATTGGGCAAGCGCTCTGGCTCTATCAATCCTTTTTTGCCAAATTCTGGTTTCTTAGGATCTACCTCCATTTCTTCTGATAAATCATGATCATCTGGAAAATATTTTGAGATATTTCTTGACCGTGGCAAATTTTCCAGTTCCTCCTGTTGCATGCCCTTTTTCTTCCCGTAAATAGGAGATACCTCCATGATTTCATCACTGTCTTCGGATGCTTGATCTACAGCTGAAATCATTTTTTGCTGCTTCCTAGGGCGGTGTTGATCATTGGGGAATTCAATAGATGGTTTAGGATTCATCCTCTTGCGCGATCCACTTCCGTTATGATTCCCCCAAAGATTGTTTGCTGGCTGTGGCCCTCCCTTGATATTTATTCGTATTAGGCTTTAGCACAAATCTTAGGAAAACGTGAGTAAAGCATACCGGCATATGTTTTCTGGGTTTTAGACTGCTGCTCATCGGCGTACCAATCTTAGTCGCACCTTTGGATGGCCTATATCATATTCTCAACTTCTGTTAGCAATTCAAACTGTGAGATCTGTGAAAAGAGGGACAAACACAGTAGCAGATGGGTGATATGGGAAATTCTGTGTCTCCTCCTGTGTGGGCGAAGCATTACTTCCACCTTCATAGGCCAAGTGGTGGTGACGTGTTTTGATGCCCTCAGTCTTAACCTTGGAGAAATCAGCTAGGGAGAACATATCGAGAAAAAATTACGAGGGGAATGAGGTTGGAAGTGGGGAAGTAGCTTGGGTGTGGGGGAGCGCGTATACCAGATCCACGGGGTCTTCGATATCGTCTTTGCCCTCGAGTTGATTGAGTCCATGAAGTCCAAACCCAGAAGGCATGCTGGTAGTAGGTATTTTGTTTGAGAAGCACAGTTACCGTCACGAATCAGGAACCATAACCACACAGCTAGAAGAAAGAAAAAAAAGGCGCACTGTAGGACTGAATGAAGGGGACTGGGTCGGGAGTGTTCGACGGGGTTTTTTGTGTGACGGGTCGCGGATAGCCTACAGAGTTTACATGTATATATATCTATAAGATCACCAACTGCGCTAAATGTTGACTGCGAACAAGAAAGTCACTTCTTTAGAGACCAAATAGAGCTCGAACTTCCTCATTTACGCAATTTCCTTTATTTCAATGTTTGTTGCAGCTTATCCGCATGCTCCTCTAGAGGTTGTAACTCTTGGCACTATTACTAACCTAAAACAGAAGACTGTCCCGAATACTTGGGAATTTTACCCGCCAATAAGGCTGTGCTTGCTGCAGGCCTACACTTTGCTATACTACTGCGTACAACTCAGACGGGACACCGAAACAGTAGCTTTTCTCAACTCCTTTCTGTGCTTTGCGCTTTCATACCTCATCACTCATCCAAATTCCTCGCAATATCACCCAGAATGCGATTGTTGCCGTTTTCGGGAGGCTTCATTTTGGCCTCCATCACCTTACTTGTCTCCCAGGTCGCGGCCACTGCTCTAACATACAAGCTCGCACCTAATGAAAAGCAATGCTTCTACACGTTCGCCGACAAAAAGTATTCAAAAGTTGCCTTTTATTTTGCAGTGAGTTGGCAACCTTTCTCATGATCTATTTTCTGTCAGACCTTCTAACTGGATAATTCAGGTCCAATCTGGTGGTTCTTTCGATGTTGATTACAAGGTGACCGGACCTAACGAGAAGGTTATTCTCGAGGGAGCAAAAGAAAGACAAGGAGACTTTGTTTTCACAGTAAATGAAATTGGAGATTACAGCTTTTGTTTCTCAAATGACATGTCCACTTTTGCTGAGAAGATGGTCGATTTTGAAATTGCTGTATGAGACCCAAGACAGGAATTTTTAATAGCCCATCGACTAATAATGAAACGACAGGTTGAGAACGAAGCGCGTGCCGAACTTCCATCGAAACAGGGAACATCACCTGAACATCTTTCTTCCCTGGAAGAATCGCTCTTCAAGCTTTCCGGTCAACTCTCCACCATTTCCCGAAATCAAAAATACTTTCGTACCCGTGAGAATCGTAACTTCAGCACAGTTCGTTCAACAGAGTCTCGGATCTTTAATTTTTCAGTTATCGAATCCCTTATGATGATTACTATGTCGTGCTTGCAAGTTTTTATTGTCAGATTCTTTTTTCAGGGTGCACGGAAAGGTAAGCAAAACCGATTTCCAGTCCCGTTCCACTTGCTTTCTGCTTGCTGGTCCCTTTCGTCATTCTCATTCCGCTAAAGCATATAGCAGGGTATGTCTGAAAGGAACTTATCTATTCTTAATTATATTATGGATATTCTTGTTTGTACTACAGCAAATACTTTTACAGTCTATAACAGAGTTGTGATACTCAAAAATGTCTCGACGATATTTTATGCCAGCGATGCGTTTCTTTCATTATGAGTTCTGGAGGCTGTCTATGATCATCCCAGCTTTCTGTTGTTTTGTGCTGCTACTCACTGCTGGTAATGATGATAATGAGATTATAGTATTCCTACCACCCACTTTTATTTGACCCTCAAGTCATTGATCACTCGAATTGATAATAGTATGAACGGTAATCGTGGTGTCTGCTTATAATGATTAGCAATGCTCGGGTGCGACGCTCAGGAGAGTCTTACTTATATTGAATTGCTTATATATACCCGCAAACTACATCAAAATAGACTCCAATGGTACTTTTTATAAGTCTTTTCAAATGGAACTGCCTCTCCCGTAGAGATCAGCCTAATGGGTGAAATATTCCTCCACATGGTAGCGTAGCTAAACCACATAACTATAATATCGCGGGTGCTCAAAACGGGAACTTAAAGATCCATAATTGGTTGGTTATCATGTCTGCTTGCGCTGTTCATAGGAGGATATGTATTTAAGAAATGAAACTTTCTCGGTCGGTAGGCCAAATCCTAGACTTCCATGGATCATATTTATAAAGATAGGCCCAACGTAAATACAATTTTTTATTATATATACAAATTAAAATGATTTTTTTGAAAACCACATTACTACTACCATCGAGTGATCTTTCATGATTGTCCAGTGATTTGTAGCAAATTGTGAGATGTGGCTCAGTGACCTAACAAAAACAGCGCTCGAATAATAAACTGTAAAGCGCCTACATCTTTTTCGTGAAAATAGAACCAAGAATGAAAACATAAAATCGAACAAATCCAGAAATATCCTATTAGAACTACATGCATTACACGCCATCCAAGTTCAGTTGCTCGCTCTTATTTCCAAGCTTTGATATTTGTAAAAAGACATCTGTTCCATAGCCCTCTAGACTATGAAGCTCTAAACTGCCGGCCCAGTATTCTGCATACACCCTGCTCATAGGCAAGCCCATTCCCAGTCGTAGATGAGGAGGTCTAGATGTCAGTGTAGATAAAGAACTATCTTGACCCTCTCTACGAGAATGTGTATGGGATGTCTTTTGCAACTCTTGGAGAGTAGCCGCCATTTTCGGAACTTGTGAAAAATTCTGTAGTCTGGCCTGGGGCCGTGGGCCTTTGGCAAATGACCAGAGATCAGCCAGTTCATCAGCGGGTACCCCGCCGCCTCTGTCTGAGACACGAAATATTACATGTTGCGGTGCATGGCAGATTAAAATTTTGATAGGTGGGAGTTCGGCCGCAGAGGAATGGCGATCGACGGTGGCTTGAATAGAGTTTCGGAGAAGTTCGCCAATAATGTACTCGATATGGGAAAGGATGTATGGGAACGTGGTATCGAGGTGGCCTTCGATTTGTATTTCTGGGACGCGGGAATCGGGACCGTTGGCCTCACGAGCTAGGTCTTGAGCGTGCTTCCCCACTGTCTCAACAACTTCGCGAGCATTACAGCGGGGAAAAACTTCGCCCACAAAATCTGTACCGGTCTGGTGGTGGGGAGAAGAGTCGGGGAAGTGAAAAGGTGAGTTGAAGGTGTCCGTAAGAGCAAGATGTTGCTCTGCGATCACTCGACGAGAGATCCGCTATGCAGAGAATATGATTTTAGCATATGAACAGCCACTGTGCTCTTAAGGGCACCATACACTACGTAGGATTCGATTCATGAATCTATCCAGTTCTTCTGAAGGCACCAAGTCTCTGCATTCCAAAACGCCCATAGCCAAACTAGGTATCACTGTCAAATGTTCCTTGAGGGTTCTCTTGACTACTTGACAGAAGTTGTCGTTGTCCTCTACGGTCTTAATCTCAGGAATCTTTCGAAATGCGTCGAACGCGCTGTAATAGAGCTCGTAGACCTCTGACAAATGTCGATTCGTAACCACGACATATGGTAGCTTTTGCATATCTCTTATCCTATGCGCTATACGCACAGGTAACTCTGACCGAACATAGTTGGCGAAATCGATGATACGACGCTCATCAAGGTTGCGCCCACCAAAAAATATCAACTGCCGTAGAGAAATTGGACGAGCCGGCTTTTCGACATATGAGTCAAGAACAACTGATGAACGCCATTGGTGCACTGCAGAAGATTGGAAGGATCTACTTCTAACAGCAGAAGGAGGGAAGATATGTCTGGTGGAAGCCACCACTAGAGTTGAAGAGCATGAAAATATTTTATTGGGAGGAAGAGCTAGCGAGAAATTTCGGCATCGCAGTCTCTGCGAGAAAAGGAACATGGAGGCCATGGGAGAGGGAATGCCATTGATTGAATGGGAAGGGGGGATGGGAGGTGCCGCTATAAGATAGCCAGGAAGAAGCCCTATGAAGAGGGTACTAAGTAGAAGAGGAGAGAGGCCTGCTGCGGAACGGGGTGAGGTTGAGTCAGTAAATCAGTCAATCAGTTGGTCAGTGAGTGGATGTTGAACGCGGGACCGAGTCACAAAGACGGGACCCACAGTCTAAGGAGCAGGTAATGTACAGTTTCCGGTAGAATTATTGCGAAAGTCAGAGCTAAAAGAGTGGATTTTGTTGGTCTGTGCTCGTAGCAAAAATCTTTTAAGGGCCAATAGGACTATTGGGTCACGGAGAACCCACTTTCGCAATAATTCTACCGGAAACTGTATGTACCTACATGTTATTCCCCGCACAAGCACCCTGAAGCCGGACTGTTTTCATCGGAGTATGTAACTGAAAGAACATTACTAGGCCTGAAGTGTGGCGGTGCAAAAGATAGCCCCGCATTGAGCCACAAGCTCGCTCGCATTGCGCGCAACAACTACGTATTCAATGACATTTTAGAACCGAGAGCAACAGCTCGAATTGTGCATGTAATGTAAATCCGTGCAGACATAAATTGCGTGAATAGACATTCCTAGGAGCTGTCTTGCTCACCAGATAGTGATAGTTTGATCATACCTTAGCAGCAGATTTATTAAACCTCTGCTTTTAGACAAGGCCGCATCAACCCCCCCCCCCCCCCCAAAAGGTTATTACTACAAATATTGTTCTAGGTACTGCACCTGTAGGTACTACATCTTACTGCCTTCTAGCCACTAGGTAGGTGTTACGCTTTTCTCTTAGCTTCGTTTTTCAACGTTTCTTGTCTCCAACCTGCCCACTCCCTTTCATTTCTCACAAACCCCCGCCACCAACACCAACACCATCTATAACTCTCAGAAGCAACTCGAACGCTTGTCTTCCATCCAACGACTATAGAAATATAAACTAGTCCCCAAAGCAGTTTCCTGTATCTAGTGTTGCTTCGCTCCAGCCAACTGGCACGTCTGGTGGTTTGCTACTACAGTACCATTTGTCACTTCAGCATCACCCCCGCTACGGCAGCTGCTCTCTACTTCACTGAAAACTCCCAACTTTCGAGCTCGATCAGCACGGAATACTTGCGGCCCAAGATTATACTTTAACAGCATATACTTTTCATCGCTTACCCACCCCAGGCTTTCCGTCATTCCTCTAGGCTGAAGAGCTTAAAATATACCAACCCAGTTCTGTAATCTTGGATAGTGGAAATTATGGATATGGTATGTTGATCTTAAGGAACTTTCGGTTCCAGATCCTTCTTTCTCAATGATTTTATAACTGACGGGCCATTTACAAAAAGCAGACTGGAGATGACCAGTCTATGCTCATCGACAATGTGGAACAGGACCCCGAGAAGCAGCAAGATGTGACTATCATAAGCCCCCAGCAATCCTTAGATTCAGAATCTATTGAAGAGAAGGATGCGATAATGATGGCCGATAACTGTTAGCTCTTCTCCAATTGGGTCTACTTACGTATTAAAGCTACTAACATGATTCTTGCATTTTAGTTGACGCAATGAGGAAACATCTGCTTCCGGATGATCCAGCGTTCGAAACAGAGGATGAGACTACTTTTACATGGAAAATCGAAAATTGGCGTAAGATGGAGAGAAGGTCACATAGTCCAATTTTCGAGTGCGGTGGTGATCCTTGGTAAGAATAATAAATTACCCTTTGGATTAATATCTTCTGGGCATTAACAATCGAGTAGGCGTGTTTTGTTTTTCCCACACGGAAATAATTGCGAATACGCTTCATTCTATCTCGAGCAGGGGTATGCAGAAAAACCTCCAGAGAACTGGTACAAATGCGTGCAGTTTGGATTAGTCCTGTGGAATCCTAATGATCCTTCTGTCAACACAATACATCGTGAGCCCACTTGGTTTTTCTTCTTTTTTTCTATCGCTCCCTTTCTTGAACCTACGGCATCTAACTAAGTAAAATGTTTCCTTGTTCCCTTTCATTAGACGCTCATCATCGCTTTACTGCAGAGGAAGGGGATTGGGGTTTCACTAGGTTCGTTGAACTACGGACGTTGATGGCTAAAACAAAGGATAACCACTGCCCATTGGTCGAGAATGATCGCGCAAATTTGACCGCATATGTTCGAGTTGTTAAAGATCCAACGGGCGTTCTATGGCACAATTTCGTCAAGTGAGTGCCCACACTGAATAGTCTAGGTGGGAAGATGTTGACTTTTCCAGCTATGATTCAAAGAAAGAAACAGGATTTGTGGGGCTGAAGAATCAAGGTGCTACTTGTTACTTGAACTCTCTCCTTCAATCCTTGTATTTCACAAACAGTTTTAGAAAAGTATAACATTCCTTTCGCAATTATGAAGCAACGAGCTAACTGGCATGCTTTATAGGCTGTACATCAAATTCCTACTGAAGGCGAACCACTCTCCAACAGCGCACTTACACTTCAAAGATTGTTTTACCTTCTTCAAACCTCCAATGACGCTGTAGGAACCCGTGAGCTCACGCAGTCGTTTGGCTGGGAAACCCAGGACATTTTTGCCCAACAGGACGTTCAGGAGTTAAACAGAATATTGATGGAGAGCCTGGAACAAAAAATGAAGGGGACAGAGGCTGAGAACTCTCTTACGAAGTTATTTGTCGGGAAGACAAAAACTTACATCAAGTGTATAGACGTGGATTATTCATCGGAAAGAGTCGAAGATTTCTGGGATATCCAGCTGAACGTTCGAGGATTCAATAACCTAGACGAGTCTTTTAGGGACTATATTGCTGAAGAGACAATGGACGGTGAAAACAAGTACTATGCAGAAGGTTACGGTCTTCAGGAAGCAAAGAAAGGCGTAATTTTTGAAAGCTTCCCGGAAGTACTGCATTTACACTTGAAGCGGTTTGAGTATGACTTCAATACTATGCAAATGCAGAAGGTATGTAGTTTAACCAACATATTTGCGCAACGCAAAATGCGGTTTAGTTGACAAAGTACAGGTCAACGATCACTACGAATTTCCCGAAGAGTTCGATGCTTCACCTTATCTTTCAGAAAACGCGGACCGATCAGAACCTTACGTATATGTTCTTCACGGGTGAGTGATGATATTCCATGAATCTCCTACGAACTACACTAAAATTCCGAAGTGTTCTGGTTCACAGTGGTGATCTTAATGCGGGTCATTATTATGCCTTTCTAAGACCTGAGGAGGATGGCCCGTTCTTCAGGTTCGATGATGATCGCGTAACCAAGGCGACTTTGAGAGAGACCATGCAAGATAATTTTGGAGGTCATTACGGTCCAAGCGCCAATGGGCCTGTGCGAAATCAGTATACCAGAGTGGCATCTCTGAAAAAATCGATGAACGCCTATATGTTAGTTTATTTACGAAAGAACAAAATCGGTGAAATCTTGCCCCCACTCACCGAAAAAGACACGCCTGCACACCTTCGTAAGTTCTCACGCAATCTTGGGGTGATTATAAAATCTGACTATTGATGTAGAAAAAAGAATAGAGGAAGAGAGGGCTATTCGTGAGCAGAAAAGAAAAGAGAAAGAAGAACAACATCTATACCAAAATGTTAAGGTCATCACCCAAAATCAATTCAAGGCTCACCAAGGATTTGATCTTGCACATTGGGATGAGAAAGAGCAACCGGACGAGGCCCAGCCTAAAATTTATCGGATACCAAAGGCCTCTCCGGTACAGGAGCTTGTAGAAAAGGTGGCCGGGGACCTTGGTGTTGATTCAAGCAGGGTCAGGCTATGGGTAATGGTTAACAGGCAAAACAAAACCGTTCGCCCCGATCAACCCATTACTACTGTTGACATGAGTATGTGGCTCCTAGCCTTGCCATTAAATTACCATAATGGTTTGGCTAACTTAGAAATCTAGCTATCGAAGAGGTCTCCGTCAAGCACAATAACAAGTCGACCGATTTCCGACTTTGGGCAGAAGTTGCCAACAATACCGACAACAAACTCCCGGAATCATGGAGCCAAGCCCGTGATTCGAATGGCGCCTGGATCGTTGTCTTCCTGAAGCATTTTGATGCCGAAGAGCAGACACTTCTGGGTGTAGATCATGTATACATGCGTAAGAATGACAAAGTGGCAGAGTTGCCACCTGTGATCCAAGCATTGATGGGATGGCCATCAAGTCAGCAAATCAAACTTTATGAGGTTTGCGCAAATACGTCACGCTACAATGCTGTTTAATACTAACAGTTTGCTTAGGAAATTAAACCTTCAATGATTGAGCCAATGAAACCTAAGCAAACATTTCAGCAGGCCGAAATCCAAGACGGCGACATCATATGTTTCCAGAAAGTATATAACGAGAAGGAGTATGTAAAACTCTTAGGTTTCCATGAGTTGCTTGTATATCCATATTAACTATTGGTCTAGGCAACTTTCACTCTTGCAGAAAAGCGCTATGTTCGACGCAAAGGACTTCTATGACTACTTGGTAAACAAGATGAAAATTAAATTTATACCTAGGTTTTCAAATCAAGAAGTGAACCGCATCTTCGAGCTCACTTTAAATAAGAAAATGAGTTATGACCAGGTATGATAATCATGCTTCTTACGCCCATCTTATCTCTGGTCACTGATTCATAAAACTTCTTTTCACAGCTTGCCGATAAAGTAGGCGATTATTTGGATGCTCCGCCGACCCATCTTCGTTTTACCACCATGAACGCCAACACCGGAACCGCTCGGACAATCGTCAAAAGGAACCCCAATACCAATCTTCAGCAGATGTTAGTCAATCAGTATTATGCCAACTCAACTTTATCCCCCAACAGCTTGTTTTACGAGGTCTTGGAACTGTCATTGACAGAACTCGAAACAAAAAAAGTTGTCAAGTTGATGTGGTTACCTGAAGGTATCTCAAAAGAAGAGCAACTTGAGGTGCTAGTCCCCAAAAGTGGACAGGTCCAAGACATTATTCCACTATTACAGCAAAAGTTGGCCCTCGACGAAGAGAAAGTTCAGGGGATACGGTTCTACGAGTCGCATCTTGGAAAGTTCCAAAAGGAGCTAGCACTTCATTTCAGTGTGGCTGGAATTCAGGAGTATATGACACTGTTCGCCGAGCGAATACCAGAAGAAGAGAATGAGATGACTGATGATGATCGGTTCATCTACGCATTTCATTTCCACAAAGAGCCAAGCAAATGTCACAATTCGGGGATCCCGTTTAAGTTTGTGATCAAAAACGTATGTACTCGGCCTAGCCAAGCCTCTGATAGTCAAATAATCGGTATTAACAGGCACAATAGGGCGAAATTTTCGAGAAGACAAAGGAGCGTTTGCAAGCACGGACAGGGATTAAGGGAAAGCCGTTTGAGAAGATTAGATTTGCAGTGGTCAAGAAAACCCAGTTCTCAAAGCCTATATTCCTCGAAAATGGCAAGTTACATCTATTATGGACATTCCATCATCCTCTCATAGCTAACATGAGGATATAGATGACATACTTTCAGACATTGCTTCGGATAGCGATGATATGCTCGGCTTGGATCACCCTGACAAGAACAGTCGCGGGAACTGGGGCAGAGCTGGGGGACCAGAAATTCGAATCAAATAGACAGACTCTTTCCCCGCCCCTCTCTTTCCTTTTTTTCGTGCAAGAATGCCAGTTTTTATGGGTTTATTTCAGTTTCTGTACCCCCTCTTTTGAGCACGAATGTTTCTGTATTCTAACTTACCTTTCTCATTACTTCGGGGATTGGTGATCTTTTCTTATAAAGCTTTATACGCCATTCCGGGATTCTTTTTTTTTTTTCCTTCAAACGGACGGAAATTTCAAATTTTCTATTTGGATCGAAAAGGTTCTTGTGGGTAACTATTCATTCTGCCGGTGCAGATCTGTGTTATCTTTATCAAAATTGTGGTAAAACTGAGACACGGTCCCGGAAATGCGCCTATTGCACCAGGCTCGATAGGTAATCTTTCCCTCTGATTAGTACGAGTGATAGTTTATGTTCTCGATGTAATTGTTGTGGTTATATATAACTCTGCTCCTTGTGCTCCGGTTTATCTTTTCAGGATTTTTCTCACATAGAACCTCTTGAACGACTGGGACTTACCAAACCTATAGAAAATGAAAAGTTTGGGTATCAAGTCATTTATTTCCATTCAGAGCCTCTAAGTAGTACGATAAAGGTACTTCGACTATGGAGGAAACTCTCGACGACTTTATGAACGCGAAGCACTCCACATTGATTGAGATATATTCATAAACCTTATCATACTGGTATATCCAGTAGCTTCCAACTGATGTTGTAGTGACGAGCACATGTATTTCATGAATAAATAAAATAAAATCAATCAATCCACCCACCCTGCCAGGGCATCGAGTGATACCTTATGAACATAATAAGCAGAATCGAAGAACCCTGCTAGTCAATGCGGAGATAATACCATTTTGAGCGTTTGTCAAGCTCTTATAGGAGAAAGTTTAATCAGAGGGTTTTTAAACCCCCCTCCAGCTACGCGTCTCTAGATCTTGCTCATAGGCTACCTCGCCTCCTCCATCATAGATGTTATGTTGGTGTTGCCCACGAGCGTCCTTGTGTTCTTGCCTGGAAGATCTGGATATGACCTCAAAAATATTCAAGGCCAGTGGTCTACAAGGACGGGGTTCACATCGAGGCTACCATGTGTCTTTCTCTCGAAGGAACTGACAATAACGGATGTATACAGGGGGTCGGCTTAAAATTAGGTACCGTATTGAGGGGGGTGGATGTTACTGAGAGTACCTCGAGGGACCGGCCTCGGGGCCAAATTCATTATACCTCAAGATCGGGTAAGCACAGGAGTCAATAAGGAAAAAGCACCTCGCGGACGATTTGAAACTTCGCCTCGACCATCCTTGTTGCACATAATATATCGACATACATGTAGTACTAGAACTAGCTAGGGGAAATCACAGATCAGCATTCTCAAGATCTATATTGATGAGATAATAATACATCTAGCTAGGTTTGAAAAGGCCCATACAAAGCCTTGAAGGAGTTCCTATTTGTGCAGTATATATGGGTGTCGATCTGGTAAAACCGTTCGCACAGCCAAATCCTTATTCTGAAGAACCACGCAACCGATAAACCCCAGATCTTCATAAAGTTCAGGTAACCTTGGTGATGGCCCAGAATTGATTTTTTCGGCCATTTGTCCCATCAGTTGGAGGCTGTAGATTACGGTAGCGAACTGGTAAGGCCTCGTTGCGTTGCCACACAGGTACGAAACCGCTCATAGACTTGTATGTACCTACTTGTGGCGAGAATAAGTTTCCGCCAAATTTGTACGTGAAAATGCGGTTGCAACACAAAAGTGGTGGCGGAAACTTATTCTCGCAGCAAGTACATATCATGATCATAGACCACAGTAGGGCCTGTTCGGTTGACACAAAAACCTGCATCCCATGGATTGGGCTCAATAAAATAATTACCTAGGAAAGATCCCTTTTCCAAGATCCTATGGCGCTGATAAGTTTATAACTATAGGCGCTTTGGGTCTAATGGCGGATGCCAAAGTCACGGTTAGGGTTCGGAAACACATAAATCAGGGATTTTTCTAGGCTCGTCCCCAACCCGTCTACTTCCATGCTTCCAGAGTAACGGGCTGGGTACGAGACTAGGATTTTTCCCATCTGGGCCAATGGCACCATATAATGCTTAGGAGGACTAGGTGGGCCAACATACAAAGTAATATTGAATTTATGTTCTAGGCTTGAAATTTACATGTATCTAGTTGTCTGTGGTGATGTCTAGTCTATGTGCCACTTTATAAATATAAGCGGATATTGATGTCCTTTGTGGATACTTTCGCCCGTGTTCAAAATTGCCCCAAAAAGATAAAAGTTCTGATTACCCTAGCAAATCAGATAGTTTGTCCAAATAAGCGTCTGGTGCACCCTCCGGCCCTGCATTGAGAATATCTTCCTCAGTTGCAACCCCAGTCAAGACCGCCAGCGTACCTCCCAGGCCACCAGCAATACCGAACTTTATATCTGTGTCAATTCTATCGCCCACCATACATGTCCTCTTGCGATCAAACTGGAATTTTCCTTCAACAGCATCCATCATTGCCTGTGATGGTTTCCCCAGTGAAATAGGGACACGTTTGGACATATAGCTTAGTGGTGCAGAGATACTCCCAGCGCCGGGAAATAGCTTACCTTTGTTGGGGAAGGTGCTGTCGACATTTGTCGCGAGGAAGAGGGTATTGGGGTCCTGGAGGTACTGGAATGCCTTTGCATACTTTCGATAATTTATGTGATTATCAAGGCCACATAAAACTACACCAACCTTTTCCTCTCCTACAATCAGCATCTTCAACGATAATCGTTTGAAGGACCTCTCACCTCCGGGTCTGGGACAAAATTAGTGTAATCCTCTTCCTGCATGGCCGTTCTCTCTTCCGGATCGGTTCCGCCGAAGTACCTCACACCCTCACTCTCCAGCTCCTCTTCAATCCCACTCTCGCCGATCACATAGACTTTCTTATTAGCAGGAAGCTTGACGACACGCTTAATATAAACTGCCGACGAGTATGCAGAGCCGAAGATCTCATCGACTTTGGCAGGGATACCGAGGCTGTCGAGCTTTTTTTTGTACGCGCGGCGTGACTTCGTGGAGTTATTTGTCACAAAAACAATTTGTTTGCCTGAAATTATGTCAATCGCGGTTTGAGGAGGTTGCTGGGGCTGCAGTTGACGCAGAGTAATCTCCATTCACCTTTACTCCTGAGCATATCTAGTGTCTCCACAATTTTAGGGAGGAGGGTATTTCCATGCCATAGGACACCGTCGCAGTCGAAAAGAAAGACCTTCAAATACGAATTTGTCAATTATCATAATCTAAAGGGTTTAAGACATTACGCCCTGTAACTCACGTCAAATTTATCAATGAAGGCAGCGATCTGTGCAGGCTTGCCGGTGAGCTTAGTAGGAGCCATGTGTGAATATGTGTGAGATGGTCACTCTCGTAGAGGAGTAGAAGTACCCCCAAGGGCACCACAGTACCGTAATGTCGCGGGGTTCAATTGCCGGCTGACATAAGCTAGATAATTCAAATACCCTATTGGAGTTGTGCCTAACCACTAGATACATGTAGTAAAGTACATGTAGGCTAATAGAGTATAGTACATGTACCTACAGTAGAGTAGAGACTGTAGAGTACATGTATGTATCTATAATGTACTATCGCTAATTTTTCGAATATTGGAACGGTCTGATTGGCTGCTGAGTGCAGGGATGTTGATTAGTCAGCACGACACATCAAAGTACTGAGCACTCACGAGAGGAGGAGGATGGAGCCGAAGGCCCCTCATGATTGTAGAGGGAGAATTAAATTTTATTTGATACCCATAATTCAACGTACAACTCGCGGTCGCGAGTTGGCACACCCCTAGTATACATGTACTTATACATAGGCACTTTCAAGCTACTAGCAAGTCTTCGGGTCACGTGCAGGCTGTTTTCTGGTATCATGGTGAGGTCTGAGGCTAAGAGTCACCTGACCCGAAGACTGCGTCTTTGCTAGTACATACATGTACTAGGGCCACCTCGTGACCGCGAGTTGCAAGAACTGTATTATGATGGAGTGCTTCAACGGAGGGCCTTCGGCGCCCGCCCCCACCTACCTCCACCCAGCTCCCTCTACAGTCGCTCACCTAGTGACGGCGGATCCTGTCTGATGGTTGTATTTGCAGTAATTTCCCCTTGGCGTCCCAAAGTTAACTCTGTTATTGGCCTCAAATCCCTGACCGCCATCAGACAGGATCCGCCTTCACCCCGTGAGTGACTGTACACTTATGGAGGCGCCTTCGGCCCCATCCCCTCCCTCAATCCACTGCTGTCGGCGCCATCCCTTCGTTCGTGCCCGGTTTTCGTAAGAAATAGCCGTTTTGATATTCAAAATACTAACTGCTACAGGGAGTGGATATCCTCTAGGAGTGGAAAGATCGGTTGAAAAAGAGGTCACAAACTGTGACCTCGAGCCTAAAGAGGTTCGCGGAGTGTGGGTTAGGTGTGCTAGAGATAAAAGTCGCTGGAGCAAGTTAAACACCCCCAGTAGAAACTTTAGGCCAACGATCAATTTTGAAAAATGCTATTCGCCACCCAGCAAAATAATCCCTGCAACCATCAATTTTGACCAAAATTGATGCTTGGCCTAAAGTTTCTAATAGCGTTTCTGGTCAAAACGAACGAAGGGTGGGGTGGGCTGGTTGCTATGCAGGGTTAGGGGTCACGGCTCTCAACCAATCAGGAGACAGAGAAATCGGAAAGATCGAAAGACAGTGTAAATACCAGTTATGTAGGTTAGTACATGTATACATTATTCCCTAGGCGGTCAGTCCCAATCGAAATACATGTAGTGACCGAACCAGATATGGTATCTATGCTCTGCTGAACACAGTTCCTGTTTGTTCTGTCCTTGAGTTTCTTGTATATAAAACGCTAGAGAGCACCTGCAAAGGAAAGAGCTCCACCTGCTCAGGGAGAGAATGAACAGTAACTGCCATACTCAACCATATCTGGTTCGATCACTATTTCGATTGGGACTGACCGCCTAGGGGATACTTTACTACCCTTTAGAGCAATTTTGCGGCCAATCTTGCACCGCCAGTCGACGGTTCCAGCTAGCTCCTGCAATTTGTATGGTGAGCCACAGATTGCCACATGTCCTGAAAACACACGAAGGGATATGTAGCATCATGATAATTGACTCGTGTAGCTTCAACTCGAGTGCAACGATATGAAGCGGAGGTGTTCCGGCGAACGACTATAAAGAGCCTCAACCCTTCCTCCCAGTCATTATCGCTCTTTACACGATCATAACTCCGGTTTGGCCAATTATGGTCTTTCCCAATCGTAATACAAACATTCTAACAGGCCACATCGGTACAGCGCCCCAGAGATTTCCCTGTCCATCAATTGAAGCATACATACATCACTGAACTGACTATCTAATCTTATTGTACGAATTTTAGGTGCTGTTCACTGCGTCACTTATAGCGCCGGTGCCGGCCAATATGTACGTACGCGTGCATCCCATGATATGAAACCATTCTCTAAAGATATGTCAGGCTCTCACAGGTGGTGCCGATCGTAAAATATATCTCTGGAACCCTACAACTGCCTCCCGCATCCAGGAATATAAGCTTCATGGTTACGAGGTATTAGATATCACCGTGACCAGCGACAATTCCACATTTGCCTCGGTTGGCGGGGATAAACAGGCATTCCTTTGGGACGTCTCAACCGCCAAAACTCTTCGTCGTTTTGAAGGCCACCTCAGTCGTATAAACAGCGCCGACTTCAACCAGGACGGATCTGTCCTGGCCACCGGATCATATGACACAAACGCGATGTTGTGGGACACAAAAAGTCAGAGTCGGAAACCGATACAGGTCCTTGAAGATGCAAAGGATAGCGTTAGCAGCGTGCACATAGTGGCTCATGAGATTCTCACTGGGAGTGTCGACGGGAGAATAAGAAACTATGACATTCGAATGGGTCGCTGCTTCGTCGATGTGATAGGCTATCCAGTTACCTGCGTTACCCAATCCTCCGATGGAAATGCAGTTCTTGTTTCCGCTTTAGATGGCGGAATCAGGCTAATGGATAAAATCAATGGACAAATGTTACAGAGCTACAGAGGCCACCTCAATACAGACTACAGAGTCAGGAGTTGCTTTGGCGATACAGATAAGTACGCTATTACAGGTAGCGAGGACGGCCAGATATGGGTATATGACCTTCTTGAAGGGACTGTGGTAGATAAAATGGAAGGGCATTCGGGTAAGGCAGTGACAAGTGTGACGTATAATCCGGCAGGGAAGAAGCAGATGCTGAGCGGTGGGGCTGATGGTAAGTAAATGTGATATGATCCGTAACTATATTCGAAGTTTGAGCTAACAGTTACAGGGAATGTTTTTGTTTGGGGCGAGTGATATTATTTAATGACAGCAAATGGGGAGAAAGTTCAACTGGAAGGAAAGACAATGCGTTCAAGTTTTTTATCGATTTATCGGGTGAGTGCATGTAACTGATAGTTTGATTGTCAAAATGAACGGTAGTTCTTGGGCATAGTCGCCAAAAGGGGCAACTTCCATAACCTTTAACTTCATCAAAGACCACGAGACTTTCAGAATAAGGAGATATGTACACTATAAAAGAGCATATACATACTCCAAAAGACAAGTCTGTCCATCAAATATGTGGATTTTGCCAAGACCCCATACAATTAGAAGTCTTAGCACATTTTTAAGAACAACCAAACAAAATAGTCCACCATCAATACTATAATGATTTTTTTTTCAATTCAAGACTGTCAGATGATTCTCCTGGTCGTTAAGTTGTATTTAACTGATTTTTATAAGCTATATCTTAAAATGGCGGGTTCTCGGGCTATTTGAAAAGGGCTGGTTTTGGCGTTTTTTGAACACCCGTTAGCCTTGACAATACCCGTACCCAATTGCCTAAAACAAAATATGTCATTAGAGCGTATTTACTAAGTGTCATTTTTGACAATTGACACTTCGAAATTGACGGTTGCAAAATGCAAAATTGACCCTTCCCCTCCATCGGGATATGAAATGCGCAAGCCGCAAGTCTATCCGGTATCCTTTTAACGTATTTCACAGCCTGGCAAGCAACCCCACCCAAAAATGACACTTGTGGATACTACTTCGGAGAGTGGCGAAGTGTCAATTGTCAGAATTAACGTTCCTCAATTCATGTGGATTCGAAGCGTGTGGGTGTGGTCCAGGTTTAGCGCGGGTTTTGATTGGAGGAAATCTTTTGCACAGAGTCCGCAGAGTTCACAAATCCCAAACAGCTTCAGAGGTGTTTGGTTGTGGAAGTTGTGACCTTTAACTAGACGTGGTGTAGAGGGTTGTGCTGATGTTCAAAATAGCTAGGCTATTAGCGAGTTAGGTTAGCTATTGCCTATGTCACTAACCGCCATTCTAGGGAAGTCTTCACATATCGACATGATCCTGAGGCCCTCAAACCACAAATGACAAGTATGCTCCTATTGGCTAGCGCTGACTGGACTCGTCCACCCACAGATCCCACAGATTTTGAGTCTACATGAATTGAGGAACGTTATTGACGATTAGTAAATACGCTCTATTCTTCTAAGTGTTGGTTCTATAAATCCAAGCGAAACCTCAGTTTCATACTCTCTCAACCGTGCCCCGCTCAGAAAGCCAGCTGTCCAGTTCGTGAACTGGAAAAGTCGGCCTATCGGGCAGAATATACCTACATGTATGTACGGATACAGCCGCATCCGATGACTCTAGACTGGCATTGTAGGGTATTAACCTTTTCAGAGTTGAACTATGACCGAGCATCTCCTGTTGCTTGGAGGATTTAACTGTTTTCGTTTGTATATTGACAGATGTGTGTACTCGCAATTTCACAGCGTTTCCGGACGCAACTGCTATTGCATACACAGAAAAAACCCGCCAAGGCTATCTTTTGTATGGCATGCAATAGTGGTCGCGTCCGGAAACGTCAAAAAACTACGAGTACATATATATACATGTACATGTGGGTACATCATGTAAGTGATTATGATAAGAAGCTGGTCTTTAAATTTGAGGGCTAGCTTATCCTGACCTCGGGTCAGAGCTTTACTAAAAATACCATCAATGCCAATGAGAGTATTTGCCAAGCGTCAATTCTGACACTCGCTTTAGCAGTCAGTTTGGCTAAGCACAGAGTCCGGGCTGTGAAATACACTCACAGGATGTGAAATGCACAGGTTAAAATTGTGATTATTGTAGAAGCATGGGGAGAGTCCTATTGGCCGAGTCAGCCACCTAAACCCTGTTTTTAGACCCCTGTTTCTACAATAATTCTCCCTCTCGCTGTAGAATTGACGCTTGGCAAATACGCTAATTCGAGTTAAGCTTTTGGTAGGACTTAATATTCGCTTACATACATGTACATACATACTTGAGCCATGTTTAGATACAAGTATGTACCTATGTATCAACCTTTGCCAAAAGATTCCACCTCTTTCAAATTATCTCGAGAATTAACTCAGAGATTCATTTTGGTATGTAGGTGAAGCGTTATCTAGGTTGATAATTTGAATTTCGTAGATTTTGTATATATGTGTTCCAAGTAGTACTTCTGGCCAGATCAGCTCTCAAGGTTGAATAAAAAGATATATAGGCCGGGTAACACCATGTTGCAAAAAGTTAAGGCCAGCTCGTCGAATGCACTCTCACATCTCCCCTGAAATACATCACCGATCACCCACGCGACCCCTTATTCGGATTCCTCACCAACAAATTCACCCCAGCTTGAAGCTGCAATCACCTTAAAATGCGCCCATCATTAATGTCGCTGCTACTTGCAGCTTCACAGGTAGTACCGAGCTTTGGTCTATACTTTTATATTGACGGGGTAACACCAAAGTGTTTCTTTGAGGAGCTGCCGAAGGATACGCTGGTTGTTGGTAGGGGTTTCAGTGTTTAAAGTCTTTGTTTTCTGGCCGATTGCAGCTCGTCACCGAATGATAACTAACGAACCCTAACCATAACCATAGGCCAATTTAGGGCGGAAGAATACAACTCTAATACTCACTCCTTCAATGACAATCCCCAGCTCGCCATTCAGATCACCGTCGATGTACTCCACCTCACGCTTATATATGACCCACATCTCTTGAAAATGAACTAACATAACATAGGAAATATTCGATAACGATCACCGTGTGGTAAACCAAAAAGGCTCATCTTCAGGACGTTTCACCTTCACCGCCGGCGACAGCGGCGAACACCGTCTCTGCTTTTGGGCATCTCATGCGGGATCTTCAGGCTCCTGGTTTAGTAACAATCCTGAAGGTGTCAAGCTCCATCTCGACCTTGCAATTGGAGAAACGAGTGAGATCGAGAGCAAGGATAAACATAAGCTCGCAGATATTGTGCAGAGAGTCAAGGACCTCAATGCAAGGTTGCAGGATATAAGGAGAGAGCAGGTATTCCAAAGAGTAAGTCGAGCGTCACTCCAAGTTACCCTGAGTACATATCTACGTTCGTAGCTGGAGAACCACCAGGCTAACGGGAGTTTCGGGAGTAGGAGCGTGAAGCCGAATTCAGAGATCAGTCAGAGTCTACAAATGCTCGTGTTGTCCGATGGACCTTGATCCAACTTTTGATTTTAGGTGCTACTTGCGCATGGCAGTTATCGCATTTGCGAGCTTTCTTCATCAAACAGAAACTCACCTAACAAAGCAAACCTCTTTGAGTGCACAATTACAATCCAATCATTTATACCTTTTAAATCCCTTTATGTGCCATACAAGAATATTAGCGATGCCTTTCCGTCGCTCGTAATGCTATACGTACTATAACTGATTCCTCGGGCCCATGCGCTTTCGCAATTGCTGGTTCTACTAGGATAGATATTACGAGTGAACTGCGAGGTGTTCGGCTTTGTAAACTGTGGTATAACGCACGGAATGTGGGTAGCTGACTAAAAGGCCCAATAGAAAAGTTTGGATCTGGGATACTTTTCACTCTGGAATAAAAACCACTAAGAAAGACTGAAGAATAGAAACTACAAAGAAGTAGGGTGGTCAAACAGGGGGAAAAAAATGAATAAGCCAGAAAAACACAGAAGAAAACGTCTCCCCAGCTATGGAGCCGCGCCATACAATTGTAAGGGAAATCTTGGGTATGTGGATTGGTTAACAGAAAACGACCTGAAGTCATTCGTAATAGAAAAAACGGTTGTCACCCCCCCCCCCCCCCCCCAAATTATCGGATCTATGAACCGTGTACACTCTTGCTTTCGCCACGCAAAGCTCATCTTCCTCTCCCATCAGCAAAATGAAGCAGCGCTTAGCGTCTACCATGGCTTCGAACAACATTCCCTTGCATGTTCTCTAACTCCATCTCCAATTGTTTGATCCTGCATTCAAGCGTCAATTAGTATTAATCCAAGTGATGTCTGGGTCATGGGTAACCTACGCGGCGTGGGTACTCTCCAAATCTTTGTTCAAACGGTCGCGCTCCGAGATCAGTTTCTGCTCCCATTGCCTGAATCTAGCCTCTTCTTTCTTAACTTGCTCAGTAAACCTCTTCCTCAAATTCTCTTCTTCTTCCTTGAACTTAGGATTGTCCAGCTTCCTTGGACGGGCCTCTCCCATCTTGCGGGTCTCCATCTGTTGTGCGCGATACGCTTCGTAATGCTGTTCCTCAGTGGTGTGAATCAAATCAAGCATGTGTGTGCGAATAAGAATGCTACGAAGTTTCTTGAAATCGCAATGTTCTTCGTTTTCAACCTCAGCGACACCCCATGAATATTGGCGTCCTTTGACAACGCGACCATCGGCAGTCTTCACATCTTTCTCGCTGCCAATGACGGCGAACGGCATAGCAGCCTAAAATCACAATGTCAGCCCTAATTCTGTATTCCACATAGAGTTTTTTTATTCACCATCAAGCTTCGAGCGTGCTGGGCAGCGGCTTCGTCATCTTCCTCGATAGGGGGTTGATAAATCTTGATACCCTGTGCTTCGATGACAGCGCGAATCTAAATTGAACGGTCAGCTTCCGAGAAATAAAGATGAATTTTAGCAATTACCCTCTGTTTGAATAGAGTTAAATCCGCTGGTGAAAGGGTATCGGCCTTGGCAACAACGGGAATCAGATTGACACGAGACGACAGGCGCTTCATGACTTCGATATCGAGAGGTTTCAGGGTGTGACCAGTGGGTCTGATGAAATACAAACATGCATGCACACGGAGATCGATCTTGTCCGTACGGCGAGGCTGCTGCTCTTGAAGCATGTATGATTCGTGTTGATCGTCAAGAAATTCGATAATAGGCATCCACGAGTCTCTGTTGTTCACATAGTCTCCAAACCCGGGGGTGTCAATAACGGTAAGGCGGACTAGAGAAATGTCAATTTTGATAACCTATTAAAGATGCCGTTCCTTTCAAGAGGTACCTTTGAAGAATTTCTCCTCAAGCTCTGCTTTGGTGATTGCAATTTCGACCTAGTGAACGAAAGTTAATTACTAGCAAATCAGATAGTTTCTCATCATTGCACATACTGTCTTGTCCATCTGCTTCTTGTGGCGGAGACGATGCTCTGAGTAATTTTTAATTGTTGTACTAAATAGGGTGTTTACGAAAGTAGTCTTTCCTAGACCACTTTCCCCAACCACCATAATAGTGAAAGCAGCGCCTCTATATAATAATTTGAGATGGGTTAGCTTGTGTATAAATTATAAACCAAACCAGCTTAGTAAATGTAAATATTCAATGCTAGCTCACGAAGCTTCATTTACCTCTTCGCTACAATCTTGTGCCTTTGGTTCGGCAGGTTGGCGATACCAATCGCGTTATCGACGTGTCCTGAAGGCATCGTAACTGTTCTGGTGTGATGTTGTATCTACTTGAGATATGGCTAAGAAGCTAGACACGATGGGGTTTTGTTCGAAGGATCAGAAGCAATGGTGAGATGCGGGTGGGTGAGCAGAGAGATATGTAGACGAGAAGAGGGAGCTGGGGGGGGGGGATAGAGTATGCTGGGATTGACGCAGTAGGCGGATGAGAGTAAGAAGAGGAGAGGAAAAGGGACGTTTGGGGAAAAGGAGAGAGCAGCAATAGCCCATGCAGCCCGGCCCCTGAATTGAGTTGCGCCAAGCACCTAGCACAGGCATTTGTGTCGCTCGCTTCCACTGCAGAGCAACAAGATGAGTGTTGCAATTTTAGGAAAGACCGCATATTGACAATGCTATTGTGTCCTGGACATTCGCCGGTTCTGTAGATAGTAAAATTGGCCGCTGCGTGGCTTTCGACCCCAACACTCCCCGCGCCCCGCGCCCCGCACCCCACAAGCTTCGGTCAATCCAACATGTAGGTATATCTAGATTTGATGACCTATCTCGTATCAGTGCTGGTGGCAGAGCTTCTTCTGTATCCAAACATGCATGTTTAAGTTTAGAGAATAGGCAGGCCATTCCTCTGCCCCGTTCTCCTCCACCCACTCAGTTGTGAGTCTAGCAGTGTGGATTCTATGTAGCATCATCATAAATTAAGAGTAGCACATCTGTTATCTCAGGATTTTTAGGAATTAGAATGCCTGCTTCTCTCATCCCTATCGATATCGTCATCTAATGAAGAGCTTGAGGCCATCATTGCAGAGTGGAAGAATTTATTTTCTTATACAAAGCTAAGTGCTGTATACATTCATGTATGTATCGTACATGTATATACATTAAAGATAACCCAACTTTTTATCACATTGTTTGGTAGAAACACACTAAGAATGAAATAGGGTTAGGGTTATGTACCTCAACTCAAAGTAAAAAAACTCCCGCCGTGGCGGGGAACAACCCACAATTTAAATAAATCTCTTGACAATCATTATTTAATTTCTAGAGGACATTATCATGCCGTCACCAAGCTAATAGGCCGTGATTCGCGGAAACAGACAAAGAACTATATCCATGTACTCACATGAACACAGAAAGATGACTACATGTAATAGGGTATATAATGGTTTAGAGTTTTATCTGTCCTGAAGTTTTTCGGAGAGGCTAAATCATGTAGTCCAGTCTTTCCATCTCGTGTCGAGACCTTTTTCTGCAAAGAGAGCTGCATGTGATGTCAGTTATCCCTCAGGCTGGATATAAATCGTGTAAACTAACTTTAAGTGGAAATTGTGACAAAAGAAACCCTAAGAAAGAGGTGATTTATTTCCTTATCAAATCTTTAGAACTAGCGGCAGGCCGTGAGCAACTACTCGTAACTTCCTGACGTTTTTGAACGCGACTGATATTGCATACCATACAAAAATACGCCAAGATCCTGATTTTGGGTGTATGCAATAGTGGCCCAGTCCAAAAACGCCAGGAGACTACGATTACATGTACATGTAGGTACATGTATCTATTCAGTTCCTCGGTTCTTGGCTGGCTTACATCATTCACATCCGGCCTAACGGCATAAGGGATACATACATGTAGCCACTGATAGCGTACATTTAGGCACGAGAGAATCCGTTTCTCAAATACATAGCTCCATTAATTTGCTGTAGTTTTGAAAGCGTCAGCATTGATAACTTAAGAAGATTCACTGACTGACGGGGTCGCAGGGCTAAATTAGATTTATACTTATTTGCGCTGTCTGTTCTAAAAGATACCTTGAGCGATTACCCATCATACCAGGAAGACCTATGCTAGGTATGCGGGTGCATTATTGAGATGTCTTGTACCGGGATGTATGTTCATGGAATATCACTCGGCTATGGGTGCTCCGATTGTGTTTGAGCAAGGAAGGAAAGGGGTGGGGATTCGATAGGATTAGAAGCAATATGGGAATGACCCAATAGTCACCCACGGATACCTCAATTTCGAAATAACTATCTACATGAACGCCAAGTACACCGTGCTCAAGGTTGTCAATCCCAGTACGACGTATCCAGTCCTGTAAACCCCTTTGATATCCAATGCTTTACCGGTATCCCAAAGTAAATGCCTGATTCCGTTCCATGAGTGGAATGTAAATGGTAGCGCCACAGCCGCCTTAATTCCGACCTTTGCTGCTACAGGGAGAGAACCAAACGCAGCAGCAATTGTAGCTGACTCAAGGTGCAGACCGAAGGTAGGTGCAGCAAGGTAGGCAAGGGCAAAAACGTATATACCGCCAGAGAGAGCCACACCAGTGATACGGTTCAAGGCAGACAGATACCAGGTCAACTGAGGCTGATAAATGGTGAGATGGGGAGAGACAGGGCGCAGCTTGCGCTGGGCAACGAGAATCGAGTACGCCTGGTCTTGGGTAACATTTTCTGATGTAGTGCCCGCAGATCTGAGAACAGAGATTGCCGGTCAGGAAAAAAAACATTATATTGCTAAATCAGAGTACTCTACCTAGTTTGGGCGGAAAAGCTTGAAGACGTCGCCCTTACGGAGGTTGATTTGAGAAGCGGACTAACTTGTCTCGAAGACACTATTGCATGGAGCGTAAACTGTTAGCTCTAGTGCCGGCGAATGGGATTTTCAGATTGATGGTACCTACGCCTTGAAGCTGCTCTGAATGTAGTGTTTGAAAACATAGTGATGAATGCAGGTGGGTACGATTAAAGATGAGCGAGTGAAGACGGTTGTGACTTTGTTCCGACGTCTTAAGGTTTGCCTGCTTGTCTGATAGCCGAGGTCATGGATGTTGCCGGGGCGTGGTTTCACCACTTACATAATGCCCGTCCTTGGAAGGGTACATACATACATGTAGCTCGGCCTCTTGGCAGGCTTACATATAAATTCAATTTTTTCTGGACCTCACTTCACCTCTCCTTCTTTTTTTCTTCTCTACAGAACTTTGGCTTAACACTATCCAGTCTTCACTTCTCGACGGGCTGGTTGGTGTCGACCTCGTCATCCGCTCAGCGTTCTGCTGGGTATCGACATTGGGTTGTACGTTCTGAGAAGAATTATCAAAAGCCCATATAATCGCGCAGATACCGTACTACATGGTATACTGCGTTTCATGAATAGGGTTACAATACTTTACTGTATGCTCTGCGAATACTCGGCCATTGACGGTAGTCTCTACTACATGTAGTATGGCAGCGGTGATAAACTAATCAGATTTTCCAGAGGTTATCCGCGCCAAACCTTTCACACCCGCAAGATTTTACCACAGAGAGGAAGTTGAAATCATCATCTTGTAGAAAATTGTTAGCGCCATATATTGGCCATGTACATAGGTAATGTATTTAATAGGTCGTTATCATGTAATCGTGCCAGGGTGTCCAGGGTGTCCAGGGCTAGGTCTCGGACTGCAGGGTTAGGGCAGCATGTAGCCTAAAACTAGATTCTCAGAAACGCGTGCTCAAAAGCAGTTTATTCCTACTTTTTGCTTTGCAGATGACCCCGGATGTACCTACATGTACATTTATTTACTCTAGGCTAGTCTCGTGCCCAGACTGGGCCGCAACTGATTTACGAGGAACAAGTGTCATAGGGTTAAAGGCGACTGACCGTAGTCCGGGCCCAGCACATATAATTGTAACCCCCCCCCTCCGAGTATACTTGTATTTAGATTTGAATTAAGGTATGAAAGGGTAAAATGATGACAGCTTTGACGGTGTTCAGCGATCATTTGGGAGGGAGTGCTTTCTCACTCTACCCAAGTCTAGATAATTTAAGATCATACGTAGAATAGTCTTAGACAATGTAGTCATTCCTACAGATGGGGGGAAGGAAAACCAAGGGTTATGCCCTAGAAGATGACTGGATGGAAAGAAAGAAATTAGGACAAAGAAGCTCGTATTGCGCCTAATGTTTTTTTTCTTCTTTTCCTTTTTTACACTATTCTGTGATTGTTTCCCTCATAATTCGTTGGCCCCGTGAAATCGTTACGGAGGTTAATCAGACATACAAGGTGACGAGTATTTTTAAGAATTCCATTCATATGCCGTGCCTAGTCACCCTAACACATTGGTTCCATTCGCAAGTCCTGGTGATGGAGCATTGGATGTTTCCGGTATGCCATTGGAGGCGTCTTTAATAGCAACATCGCCATCGTCATCTTCCTCGTCAAGATCCTCGGGATGCCTTGTTATAATATTAGTATTTACTGAGAATTATTAGAAGATTTTTAGAACTCACCCTAAAAGATTCGCCACCTCTTTCATTTCGTAGTGCCTCTTTCTCATTTCAGCAAACTTCCTGTGTTTTTCCTCTTCCTCTGGCGTTTCCGGATCATCGCCAGGTTCGCCATGATGTTCGCTCACGGAGTCATCCTGAACAACGACTTGCTTTGGCGAATGGCTTTCCCTAAATTTCATTGGTACCGCCTCTTCAGGCTCACCAAGTTCTAATCCAGGGATATCCTCTTCACGCATGGCATAATCCTTTCTAACACCTTTTGCCCCATCTGCGCTTGATTCACCAGCTCCTACCCTCACAGCATCCAACTCATCTACAACTAACTCCTCTGCATCGAGTGTTCTGAATTCAACTTCATCCTCTAAGGGATCATAGCGTTTTGCGTATGGCGTCTTAGGCTCAGTGATTTTCATAGTGCTAGACTTTTGCTGTTCAGTCAAATACAGGTTGGCCTCATCCCATTTCAGACGCGGAGAAGATTCCTGATCTTCAATATCTCCATCCTTGCTATTTGTGTAGGATTGACGACGAGAGCCGGCACGGACAGGAGTTTGGCCAGCGGATGAACGGCGCCTTCCGGCATTTTGAAGTGTGTTTTGGAGGGTGACATCTTTTTCCGAGTGTGAAAGCTCCATAGGAGAGGATTCTGGAATATTTTCGGATGAAATATCTTCGGAATCAAGAAAGACATTACTAACAGGCTTTTCGGTCGGGGAGCGGTGGTAAGAATTTGAGTTCTTGAGAATTCCTGAAGGTAAGTGTTAGTAGCCTGAGATTGTACGGGGAGTTTTAAAATTGACAAAACTTGCCTCTAGGACGTTTACTGCCAGGTCCATCGAGATCAGGGGGTGAATGCGACATATTTGATGATGTTGCCTGGCCCGGGGGGGGGGGGGGGGGGGGTTCAGAAATGTAGTTATGGCGGAGGGGAAGCAGGGAGATTTGTTTTTCAACTGGTTGAGGATTTCGGAGTAGCGACTCAAGTGTAGTGAGCAAGCTGTACCAGATATTCGGCGAGAGGGGTTGAGGGTAGCTGGATAGAAGCCGGACGGTTGGGTAGTTATTTGAGGTTGGGAGTAGAGCTAGCAACTATAAAGACGTTTCATTTGGTGATTCGATGGATATGTCAATTGAGACAACAATAGAAAGAGGGGGGCAGATTGAGAGGGGGTAAGGACAGGGTAAAACAGTATTTCTTATGAGGTTCCTTCTCTTTCTTTTTCTATGAAGTTCCCGAGCAAGGGTTTATAAAACTTTGGTTACCAGATTCTACTCTACTCAAGCTGTTCCTCCTAGGCCTGGTCACGCTGTGCTGCGGGGTGCTTTACACAACTCCCTTGGCTGAGCTTGGCGACATCTTATTTTGCAGCAATTCATATGCAGTAGGGATACGAGTCCATGGACATCGTTCGTCATTGCACAGGACCATTTATCGGCCTTATCGGGTGATTAATCAGGCCCCTTCGGTTGCAACAAGAATTTCGAACTGTCGATCTACCCAAGCAGGAAATCAAAGCTTCCGGAAGAAGTAAAGAGAGGTCACAAAAGTTCACTGTGCCTTAAAACGGCGATAATAAATAGAATACCTAACTGATTGTGTAAGGCATCCGACAGTATTACTCCACTCAAGGCTGGTACATTTATTAAAATCGAGCAACGTAACATCATCAAGCCCTGCCATTGCATACATCAAATCATGCATCACCAGAAATCACAACGGTTTATACCTAGTTAAATACATGTACTTTCGATTGCCAGACCGTTTGACAGTAGAAACCCCAGATGATAGGGTATTAATTAGTTAGTATAACGTGGAGTCCAAAATAATAATAAAAAATGATATCTCTACCACTCCAAATACTCAAACGCTAAAAAAAAAAGAAGATAAACCCCCGCAATAAAATATACAAATACCCAAGAATTTTAATATCCGCCCCATAAACGTCACTCATGTCATTTAAAAAAAAGTAAGTGCAAGAATAGAAATAGAAACTCCAACAAAAAAAGGGGAGGGCGGAAATACTTCTGCACCTATATATGATGAAGCGAGGGCATAAGTAGAGATCAAGGGAAGCAATTATACCACCGTCCACTCAGCGTAGACACACCACCTAGCACTTCTATCTGCCAAAACTAAGGCTCTCCAAGCCCCTCGCTCGCCACACTTAATTATTGTCTCCCAAATCATTCCATTTTCAGCTCCATTGGTATCGGCCTTCTTCATTAATCTCAAAATTTTTCCAGCTGGTGTTTGTATAGCTAATTTGGCAGGTTTCGGCCCGTTATTCAAGCTATCGCTAGTCAATCCTTCACTAGGATGTTGTCGCACTGCGAAGACAAATGTATTATTGACCGCCAATCTAGCACATTGTGGTTGAGATACGTAGAGATCGTGACGTTGCGCATGAGGTGTTGGGTGCCGAACCAAAAAGTCATAAGGAGGGTTTTCACCCGTATGGATAATTGGCAAGGCAAATGCTAAGGGATGTGGGTTATCACGCATCGAATGCTATTGTTTTTAAAAAAAGTTAGATCAATCTTTTGATGGATGTCGGGGGGTAAAATACTTACGATCAAGCCCCTGTGTCCGGCGTAGATTTTCAAGACACCGTGCCCTTCATCACCAGGCAGTACCGCTTTAACCCTGTATGTTTTAACCCCATTCTCCCAAACAACTTGGCAAAGTGCCCTCTTTTTGGTTACGTTTCCGCTCTCGAATAAATCACCGCTCTGGTCAACTGCAAACCCTCGTACTTCTACTTCGGCAATGCATTCCACATCTATGGGAACGGTGAACTCAATTTGGGCGACTTCCAAATTTTCAATTCGGGTAAGGCTTGTGTCGAAATTGTTCATTTGCAAATTGTGCTTGAAAAATGGCGGACAGGCAGATGGTAGGGCAAGTAGTATTGCCATCGGCAATGGAGGAACCATATGTTGCTGTTCTGCCCTCTGCGGCACATGTGTCCAGCACAGATGGCTTGGTTTGGTCAAAAAGTAGAAGAGTTCTGCCTGTGAAGTAGATGCTGATGAATACATAACCCTTCTGGGATTCGTTGGCGAAGCAAGCGAGCAATCCATGAATCTCCATTCACCATCCACAATTACTCCATTCCACCAATGGTTTGGGCGTGGGCACATTTCGACGTCTAAAGCTTCACCAGGAACTTTCAGGTAGCCTGCCACAATCTCACAGTGAATCCCTACAGCCATACACATTCCCATAACTACCTCTGCAACCTCAGCTGGGCCCCCTCTTCTCTGCTGTATAACGCTTCTAGGATCTGCTCCCGCTTGACCGGGGTTTCCTAAAGGCCCGCTTGGATGTTCCCAAGCAATCTTCTCAGAAACCCAGGTGAAAATAGCACGTAAACGCTGCAGATCGCTACGGTATGGACGACAAACGTGATGCGCTGCAAGGCTCTCAGGCGTTGTGAGCGGAGGCAAGTTTCCAATGAACCTCGTCCCTTTATCAACCAATGCCAGATTTGCTGTGTCAAAATCTGCTGGATTTTCCACTGGGCGTCCATCTGCACCTTCATCTCCATCCACATCGTCATCCAAGGCATCAACGGGACGAAGGACAATCTGATCCATCAATTGTTGTTTCTCTTGTCTCTCTATCCGTTCGTTTCGTGATAGAGTATTTGATCGATTGACATCCCTTCGAACTTGAACCCAATCTTGGCTTTGCAGTTGCATTGGTGTTCGCCCTCCAGATATCGGGTTGATTCCGTCCGGTATAGTTTTTTGTGTCGTAATTGGAACAGGGGAACTGGTGCCTGATGCTAAGCTTCTTGCGGAAGCAGTACTGGTCTTTGCGCTGTTCAAAATCTTCTTGAGGAACCCCGTTTTTTTAGGCTTGGGGCCTGGTTTTGGCGATGCCAGTCCCCCGAGCGCACCGCCTGAAGTTTCCGAAGCCCAGGTTTGTCCTCTTCTCAGCATGCCCGGCCCGACACCGCCAGAACTCGATCCAGAACCGCTTCCAGGGCCAAAAATAGGAGTTTCAGACCTCCCATATCCTGCAAACACTTGCTTTTGTGCACTGATACCACTCCCACCATAAACACTTATAGCCTTTTCCTTTCTACGTGCCAGGCTTCCAGCGCTAGTTGCTGAAAACCCCCCGGCACTCATGCCACTCATGATACTTGCACTAGTCAAAGCTGTTGAGACGGTGGCATTTGTGCTACTGGATTGATTTGATGTCGCACTGGATTTGATTGTTGTTGTTCTAGAGAGTGGTCGTGGGCGAATAAGCTTGTTTGGTCCAGGGCTCCGGCGACCCATATCATACATTGATTTTCGGTTATTTATTGATATTGGATCTCCTGTTTGAGGTCGGTAACTGTCATAAGCTGTATTTTTCGGTGGCGGTGGCGGGGGGAGGTCATCATCGTCATTTCGGTATCGGTCCGATAGATGGCTAGACTGCTGGAACCTCCCATTTCGGTCATCGACCCTCTCACTATGATTATTAAAATTCGTTGAACGTTGATTATCGAAATACATAGTCATGATATTTTCATCCTCATCGGGATATCCTTCGCTCCGGTCACCTATTCCTAAGGAGGTTTCTGGACGCACATAACTCTTCCTTGCCGACGGCGATGAGTGGTATTGTTGAACGAACGCTTCTGGTGACCAAGGGTCAACAGGGGTTTTGATACGGTTGTCATCACGCGCTGTCATGTGCTGTAGGCTTTCCATTACATCTTCCATGGCATTCCTCAACGGGCTTGGCGTGTTTCCTAGTATCGCGGGAGAGTGCGCGCCATTTGGTGCCGGTGTACGTCGCCCATCTAGTGGCAGACTAGGCGAACTGGCACGTTGATACCTGTGCGGTGGAGGTACTGGCGGGGCGCTGATTATGTCCTGGTCATCATGATCTATATAAGGGTTTGGAGACGCTGAACGGTGATACTGCATCATGGATGCTGCGGGCGAAGGCGCCCTGGCGCTGTAATGCGCCGGGGGTGCTGGAGAGGCTGCTCTTGTGTTATATTCTCTTCTCGATACCGACGGCGCTGGCGACGCTCCCCTTGTGTAGGGGTTTGGAGAGACTCCTCGAGGATATGGATTTGGGGAATTAGACCTTGAATTATATCCTTGTTGATATGGTATAGGAGAACGTGATCGTCGGTCGTCGTGTTGGTAAGGCATGGGGGAGTGTGCTCGCTGTTCGTTAAGATAATAGTGCGCAGGCGGTTGCGGTGAAGGTACTCTCGAGTAATGGGTAGGGGCGGGAGAAGCTATTCTCGAATAGTGAGTAGGAGCAGGAGAAGCTGCTCTTGAGTAATGAGTAGGGGCCGGAGAAGCTGCTCTTGAATAGTGAGTAGGGGCTGGTGATATCGCTCTTGTAATATTTCCACCACCTCCAAACCTTGGACTCGAAGCTCCATTTCTTGACACTGGTCTCGAAGGAGAAATCGTACCCTCGATGACCTGAACATAATTTGAAGGAAACAGCCCCATCTGCTGCCGGTTGCGCTTGAGACGTCCCATCCACCATGACCCATCGCCAGCATTGAGACATTCGATAAGGTCGTCCTCAACGAAGCCAAGATCGCGTTTGGTCTAGAGGAAGGCAGAAATATCAAAGATTTTGTTAGTGTGGAGGTTCATGAAAGCCTCAAGAGGGATCAGCAGTGTCATACCTCTCCACTCCATGAGTAAATAGCCCGACACAAGCAAGGAAATTTTGGGAGCACAGGGAGCGGTTCGCCTGGCATGATTCTTACTGTAGCTTCTCGGCAATACGAGGAAAGGGGGGGGGGGGGGGGGGTTGGCGGGCAGAGGGGGCCGAAAATATCGCAGTAGGCGCAGACAGTTATATGTAGGTAATAAAGTAGTAGGGATGAAGAAGGAAGGAATGAAATAACGCAAAACGTAAACTTGAAATTAATGAGGATGAATTGGTGATGTGAGGGTGTGACTGAGCAGAGAGGCTTTGAGTATGATTAAAATGGTACTGTAATGGGAAGAAATCGATTGCTGGTGGGGGGAGTGGAGGGAGTGTGGTTGAGGTTTAGATGGTAAGTGTAAACAACATGCCAGGTCAGGGTCACACGCGAAGGCCTTAGATGAGAAATGAGCCAGTAGGCAGCGGTATCGTGGTTGTCCTGGCAGCGGCGCATAACAACAAGCTTCCATTTATGGCTTCAGCCGCATCCCTTCGATCCCCTAGCAATGGGGGATTGACTTGCATGGAAAGTGTGCATATGACGATGGGTGGATGAGCCGCCTCGTGAACTGTGGGGTTCAGGGGGAAATGATGGAAGACGCGTGCGTAAGAAACAGCTGGACAAGATGATTGTCTCTTTCGAGGGTTTGACTGTCTAACCACGCTAGGCGGTGCTACTACTACTCTAGGAATTACACCTAAGTGGTCTCCAAAGTTGTGACCTTGTAGATAAACATACCATGTAGTGTCCCTTGAGCTACATGTAGAGTAGTGTGTGGGGTACGTGTATTCTACCTATGTATATGTACTGTACATGTACCTACATGTACATACATACATGTACATGTAGTTATGGCTTGATCTCGTATCTAGTCTAGTACAGTGTCCGGTAGAATTATTGCGAAAGTCAGAACTAAAGGGTGGGTTTCTTGGCCCGTGCTCACTGCAAAAATTCCTTTGAGGGCCAATGGGACTATCGGGTCACGGAAAACCCACTCTCGCATTAATTCTACCACAATCTGTACATGTACTCTATTTTGTCAAGACTTTCTGTGAAAGTTAGGTCAACCAAATTCGCAGAAACTCACGTGACTCCCCAAAAGACTGGGGTTGGGGACGAGCCTAATCTATGTCTAAGTGGATTGGTGTAAATTAAGCTTTAACTGGGAGAACCCCAACGTAAATAGAATAAGCCAGAAAATGCGGAGTACCTACATATAGAATCGCTTGTCGATTTCTACCAATCAGGATTCAAATCGGGGGAGCAATGATTCTTGGAAGAGGTTGATGCAAGTTAAGTGGGTTTCTTGGCCCGTGCTCACTGCAAAAATTCCTTTGAGGCCAATGGGACTATCGGGTCACGGAAAACCCACTTTCGCATTAAATCTACCAGAATCTGTAGTAACAGCAATTCCAAGTAATACGGTATCTATGTATGTATTACTCTAATCTAGAATAGAGTAGAGTACATGTATACGTAGAGTAGCTACATACCTAGGTACATGTAAGCTTAGAAATTACTACTACACTCTTCGATAAAGCGGCAAATTCTCGCAATGCTGCACTGATACGGTATCAGTTTTACCCGCATTTCTGGTCCTGTAGGTAGAGTACCGACATACATGTAGAGTACAGTTCTGTATTCGCGCTACATCCCATTCCTATCACTTCGTCTGTTCCCACCATCCACAGAGAATCAACAAAACCTGCGAGATAAGTGGCGTAAAGAATAATTTTGTGTGGACGAAGGATATGGCCGGAAATAATGCACCACCCGAAACAACTGGATACACTGGCTTCTTTTACGGTATGTAATATTTATGTATGTCCCGACAACATATATTCTGGCTGTCGATATATCGATATTGATACTTTAATCTGATATCTCTTCAAGGTACTCTAATGGCTGTTCCTATTCTTTTTCGTGTGATTTATGGTACAACATCACCCGAAGCCTGGCAGGTGGCCTCGCTCCGCGTCCGTCCTGCGATGCTTCACTCTTATTGCCGTTACAAAGTCCGCTTCGTCGATTATCCCGCAATAATCCCAGAAAACGGCAAGCAAGTCCAAGGGACCTATGTCGAGGGCCTCACGGAAGGTAACATTTTTCGTCTTGACAGGTTTGAAGGGGAGGATTATAGCCGTAAAAGAGTCCAGGTCAATGTCCTCGAGAGTAATGGAGAGGAGGGTGAGAATGTTGAGACAGAGACATATATTTGGACTGCAGGAGAAGATAGGCTTGAGATGGAGGAATGGGATTTCCATAAATTCGTGGAAACAAAATTGGCAAGATGGGCAGATTCTACGATTGAGTACACCGGTATGTCTGGGTGCCTATGTGGACCATTTTCTGGGATATTTTGAAGAGTAGTAAGTAATTAATTGGCAAAGTTACAGAAGTCGACGAAGCCGACTCACTTAGGGCACAATCACAGAAAAGAGCTGCGAATACAGGCATATTAGAAAGAGAGCATCAACTCAAGGAAAGAGAAAAGGAAGTGAACGCGGAGGAGATAAGAAGTGCCGTATGAACGAACCTAGAGGTAGACTGTTCTTGTCATTATGCACGGGGTCTTGGCAAAATTCGGCCAAATCCCAAGATTTGTAAATTCAAAATTACATCTCAGAATATATGTTCTTGTATATTGTATCTTCCTATCCTGAATGTTTCATGATCTTTAGAGAAGAATTGAAGCTTAGGGAAGTAGTCAACTCTGGCCAATTTTGGTGTGTTTTGGCGCGAAGACGGTGATTTACGTCCAAGAACTACATGATATATACATGTACATGTAGTTCAATAGCTTTTACTCACAAGTAAAGCTAACCCTCACTCCGTGAATTTCGTTTTGCTGTGAAGTCACCGCCTGTGACCCTCTCGTGCCTATACACTCTGTAGGCCGTTAGCTTGAATATCGTTTTGGGGGGATATAAATGAAGGGATGAGTAGAGAGTGCCGCGAGTATAATAGAGCGTATTTACTAACCGTCAATTCTGATAATTTACACTTCGGCACTCTCCAACGCGGCATCCACAAGTGTCAATTTTGGGTGGGCCGCTTGCCAGGCTGTGAAATACCTCAAAAGGATACCAAATACAGTTAGAGGACACCATAGTAGTTATCATCCTGTTCTTGCGGCTTGCGCATTTCATACCCCTACGGAGGGGAAGTGTGAATTTCGAAGTGTCAATTGTCAAAAATGAGACTTAGGCCGCGTCCTGTTGCAACGAATATCACGATATTCGGCCGTCTTGGCACAATATTTGAGATTATTCCTGAAGGTAGTGTTCGAGCAACTACTTTTTACGATATTTGTCATCCTGTTAGAGCCCCAATATCATGATCTAAAATATTCTGCTCAGACCAGAATATTCAAGCTCGTATCACTTAATCCTCGCCGCGCTAGCACCAGACTTAGCACCAAGTTCACCAGCCCAAATGTTGTATATTACTAGGGCTCTGAAATTTATTCACCTCTATTGTGGCTTACGAAAGCTTGATCAAAAACTTGAAATATTTTGGTAGCAGAACATGCTCTAATTTTTTATTCCTGTCAGGTTGCGGTCCTGACATATTCCGTTGCTACTGGGCAGGTCGTAACATCACAATATCTGAGATCGATCGTGGTTGCCAGGACGCGGCCTTAGTAAATACGCTCTAATAGGACTCAGTCACGATGGTTCAATCGCCATGGTTGGTGGTATGTAATAAGCTCAACTTGCAATCAGTTACCAAAAGTGGAAATCTCCCAAACGAATGAGGTTTTATGTATATCGTACATATTATATACGTGTGTAATATGTGGCCTACGGGTTTCTTAATTAATAGTTAGCCATGCAGGGTTAGGGTTCGACGCTCCCGACCAATCAGAGCTTAAGGAATCCAGAAAACCTTATGACACTGGTACTGCATGTATTAGAGGCTGTATTTAGGTCCTACATGTACTTACTTGTACTCTACATACTTGGTGTTGAGGGTAAATACGAAGAATCCGATAAGAGAATCTTGCTATGAAATAGGTGCGTTTATCTTATCAGATTCTTGGTATTTATGGTTAACCCCGGTACATCTAGTCCCGTTCCTCCGCGTTGCGAGACTGCTACATATAGAGCGACAAGAGTACTACATGTATTCTACCTACAGGTACTCTACATCATGTAATGTTTGCGTTTCTTGACGTGCGTACCTGAGGTATGATGTAGGTACATGTACAAGTATGTATGTAGAATATAAATATGGAGTACATGTTATTGTACATACAAAGTGCTCTATAATGTACAGTATGTGATACAAGCTCAGCTCACTAGGACAGCCGATAGCATGTACCTACAGGCTACACCCCACTACAGAGTCCATCCCAACTACCGTCACAACCGTGAATAACTTCCTTTGAAGCTACTTCATCCCTTATCTTATTACTTCCGCAAATTCCGCGCTTTACTTCTTTCTCTCTAATTTTTTAAAGACCAAGCACATATCCCCCTTACCTTACGTCGTTATGGGTGCTGGTGACAGCAAACTGTCCTTCAAAAAAGGCGTGTTTCGCCTTGCTGAGGAACATGTAAAGCTCAAAACACTCCCGAGAATGATCGTTGAGTTTATGCACTCACGACTAACATAGCTCCTTAGAATATACCGGCAAATGACCCCTATTGGCTTTCATTTTGGGAGCTACCAGAATCCGCCGAAGACGTATTTACTCTCTTCTCCGCGGCAGATATCCGCCGCACTCGCGATGCACATCTGGAGAATCTCGAAACTCTTATCCTTTCTTTAGCTTCCAGACTCTTCACTCTGAGAAGCCATCTATCATTCCCCGACCCAGATCACGCCCCAGAGCGGGACGCTCTCAATTGCATTCGGATCCTAACCAGGGTTTTGCCCTTTATCTATGAGAAGGATGAGTTGGAAGAATGGCAAGAAAGCTTCTTTTGGTCTCCTCGACGGAAAAGATCAAGAGATTCACCGACGGTTCGGACCGAAGTCTTGTTTGACGAGAGAAATAGAGAGGATGAGACCACCCCCCAGTCTCCAACAACTGGAGAAGAATTTGAGCCAGCCCCTCCATTAATGGAAGAGCTGATAGATACGTTAATCGACTTATTATTCTTTTCTGGATTTACTCTGCCCCACTCGTTTTCTACAAAAGCAAAGGTCTCCTATGCTATTTGGCAAAGTGGTGTTGGCTGTAACACACCAGTAGGAACAACAAAGGAATTCGAGTCGAACAAGATAGAGACTTTGAGGTTATTGCTAGCGATCGTATCGAAAGCTGTATTTATGCCTGCAAGTAGGTCACCTTTCTCATTCATTTTAGCTAAAGAAAATACTTCGAAATTTGCTAACGCTTTCATGTAGACATATTACCTATAAAAGGGACAAGAGCCTTGACCTATATGGTTACCTGTAGCGACAAAAAGATCGTTCTGTCAACATTATGCTCACTTTTGAATACCGTAGGCGATTTTTTTTATCTTGCCCGAATGAGCTACTTAGATGTTGATAGCTCGAGTCTAGACTTTGAAATACAATCCAGCGAGCTGGAGGGTACCGTACGACCACGTTGTATTCACCGACCCTCGACAGGTGCTTGTGACCTACTGCTTACAACTTCTCCTGGTTTTACTGTTATATCCCGTCCCAGAGGGCTTTTCAAATGAACTACAAGCAAAAAATAATTATCGACATTACTTAGGGAGATTACATAGGACTCAGGACTTTCAGTTTTTGGTCGATGGTATGACACGGGTCTTGAATCAGCCGGTAAATTACACCCGAATCTGTCGTTTTTGCTTTACTAATTGAAATAGATTCAAGCTACGACTTCATACCTTCCAGGAAGCCAGAAAACAATCAAATGGGCACCGGAAATGATCATGCTTTTCTGGGAGAGTCTGCAATGCAACAAAGCATGTATTCGTGGCAGGTGAAATTTGAGTTTTGTTGCTAACTTAGTAACAGCGATTTCGAAGTTTCATAATTGATACCAATCGGGTCCACGATTTCGTGATATTAATAATTTATTACGCATTAGAACATAGACTGGATCCTTCCAAATCGGGCGTCGTGCGGATGTGCGTGTTTGTCCTACAAACCTTATCCACTGAACCCAAGTTTGGAATGAGTCTCAATAAACGCTTCGAAGGACAGAATACGCTACCAGTCAGCGTCAGGATCCCATCTTTCAGTGGAACATATGCAGACTACTTGATAATTGTACGTTTTGCAATGGTCGCAAAAGTCAGAGAACCTGGTACTGATTTATATCGAAAAGTCCATTTATAGCTTGATTACAAGCAGCAAAGGAAAACTAGGAGCAGTGTATCCAGCGTTATTAGCAATTGTAGCTAACGTTGCACCACACGTTCAAGGCCTGTCATCAGCTGCCAGCGGGAGACTAGTGCAGCTATTCGTCTCAATGTCGGCTCCAGGGTTCTTGCTGGCAAACGAAACGAATCACTCATTATTGCATTCTCTCCTAGAGTCTTTAAATTCTATTATCGAACATCAATACTCAGGTAGGTCTACCGTATGACACTGAATCCTCCCATCATTTGACGTGTTTTACAGAAAATCCAAATTTCGTTTATGTTTTACTCCGGTCTCACAAAAGATTCGAGGCTCTTCGGAACTTTACTCTCGAGAGCGGACAGGAGGAGATCGACCGCCAGAATAGGCTTAGAAAGGATAGGAGTGAAAACGAAAGTCAAAGCCCTCCTAAAATGTCATTCAATGAAGAATTGCATGGCCAAGCACAAAGATCAGGACCTGATACACCGACTCCACCAAGTCAATTTGAAATTGGAGATGATGATGATTCTGAGGATGAGATTAAACACAAAAATCAATCTTCTGCTGCCTCCAGTGGTGCTGTTGCTTCGCCCCCCCAAAAATCACGAAATCCTTCCTTATCCTCATCTGTCGAAGATGCGGTTCCATTGCAGCTGCGCGGAATGTCCGAAAAGGCTAGAGGGAAGCTCCCCGAAGGTTCCTTCCAGCGGCAGGGTAGCACAACTAGCCTAGCTAGTCATATTAGCACCAATAGCCCTGGGATATCCGCCACAGGATTTACCCCTTCTGCGGCTTGGGTAGGTTGACTATCTGTATCTATACTGTATTACGTGCTGAGAGTACTATAGATTGAGACATGGCTTCCACATTTACCACTACACACAGTCCTCATTTTGATTCAGCAACTACAACCCCAGTTACGATCAGTCTCAGGTAGTGGCGGTGGAACACAGGAATCTAACGCCACTTTAATGCTTGAGCGTATCAGAACGACAGAAGTTCATGGGATTGAGCCATCTCTTGTCAAGACCCACATGTTTGAATGGAGTCCTCTAGCACTGGGATGGTACGAATCTTTATTATGGGGGTTTATCTTCGTATCCGAGAGACATGTATCCAAGGGTACTGTTGGGGTTTGGAACGGAACCGCGGTTAAGCTTTTTAGAGTTCAGGAAACCGCCCCAGAAGGTCCTAGTCTTTTGGCACCACGAGGAGGTGTAGATGCCATTGGAACCAACCTAATCGAGCGACTAGGAAATGTAAGTCTAGGAAGAGGACAGTCACAGCCGCAGACTAATGTTGGAGACCATGTTGCCATAGAACGGCACCCAACTGTGTAAAGTTGGAATAGGCCTTTTGAGCTTCTGTTTCTTTGACACTTTTGCCCTTTTATTCTCTACCTACTCAAAGTTTATGTTGTATCTTGATTGATTGGGTTTGCCATAGAATTTAACTTTATATTGTTGGCTGATACCATGGCGAGAATCTAATGTCAACTGGTAAATACATGTAAACACTATCAGATGGTTTAAAGCGCCTGGGCAGGCTTGTCACCTACATAGATGGAATTATTGCTAATCAAGGGAACGTATGCTAAAGGTTTCTACAGCATCTTCTCTAGCCACACGCAATTCCGAACAACCTTTTGTATAGATCATGCATGGCCTTCCTGTATAGACGAGGTGACAGATTGATTTTCTAGATTCTACATACCTAGGTAGCGCAGTGGATGGACTGCGGCCTATCTTTTTAAGAAATCTTGCTGCCGCATAAATCCTGCACAGAGTAGTGCTACCCATTCGGCCGGGCCAGAGGAGCACTGGCAACCAGGAATTCGAGCGATAGGTTTAAAATCTGAATGTATCTTCGCCCCTAAACTCGACATTGAAAATGTGCTATGGGAAGTATGTAAGGTTCTCTTTTTGCTAAGTAACTCATAAGATAGGGTTCCTCGCAGCCAAGAGGTAGATATTATATTCTGAATTCATAGTGCTAGACATAGGTGTTAAAGCAACTCCTGAGATATAAATATCACAAATAAGTTCAAATTACCATTTGATGTTTGATCAACCCACTACCCTGTCCCATCCGAAAACTGACCCCGGGCTCTCTATTTCAGTACCTGTATGTGTGTACACCCACTGCGTACGAATGACGGGGAGGGCGAGTAATTCTTAGACTAGTGATAGAGTTAAACATTAGTCTCACTTGAGCCTGGGGTTTCTGTCATTGGGTTAACAGTATATGGACTACACGTTCATACAGAAATTCTCGCGTGCTATGCTCATTTAAGGTATCTTGAGCAGGAGTCAATTAAGATTTCGTATGAACAAAGGACAAGGTTTGTGAGCGAGTAGGACTAGGCATCAACCTTTATTCAAAAGTATTCAACTAAATATAAGATATCCAAAAGGTGAAGGGCAGTAAGTCTATAGGAAGTACCTGTGTATTCTACCACACCAAAATTCCGCCTAGCGCAACCGCTAGGCGCTAATAATGTTATTTCAACTTCAGGACATTTCAAAATCCTTCGCGGGTTCGCCATTCCCAAACATCCAAAATTGGAGGCCAAGATAGGCATCCAGAGCAAACTGGATACCAGCACACAGCCGAAATTGCATCCCGACATGATCAGAAGAATAGAAAAACACAGTCTTCATGATATCACCGATCAACCAAGAAACAAGTACCGACAGGCGGAAGCCCTTGCAAGATCTAGCCTTTTGGTTTGCAAGAACCTGTGGTATCGGAAGACCGGCCTCCACTCCTAGGGCGCAGTAACCAAGAAGCCCTACAAAAAATTCAGAAGACCCGAAGAAGAGTTGAAGGATAGCCGTAATCACGAAAAAGTAGACTAAGAACTCCCAGTATCTTTTTGAAGTGGTCCAAATCAACAATTGCGTTGGGGAAATGTATATTTTTGAATAGGGCGCAGACGTACGTTCTCTGAGGCCTCCACTGCCAGAAATTGAAAGGTCGTTTGTTAGGGTATACCACGCCCGCAAAAGGGACTCTTTCATCTCCAGTAGATCGATGATCAAGAGCAACCTTAAGTAGTATGCCCTGAACGAGGATCATTATGAGACCTACAGACAATCAGAGTGTAATGGTGTTAAGCAATCTTTCCGAGACTAGGGTCACAAAAAATGGGCATACTTTGAAATAATAAGCTCGTCTCGAATCGAGAACCAATCCAGTAAAAACATCGAAGAATAGAAGCTACTAGCATAATAAGAGGGGTCTGTCGACGAGACACGCGAGGGAAGTTGTTAGCTAAAACTAAATATCATCGGCGACAGCTCCAGGAACCAACATCGAGAGAAAAGCCGCGAGAGGATTTTGTAATATGTATGTTCCGTATCTGTGAGTGAATTATGTTAGTAAATGGATGATGTGAGGAAAAGAAGGTCTATTCTGACTTGGTCGGCATAACTCGTTAACGGACTCGTAACGAGACTGTTACAAGATAAATAGATTAGCGGGCTAATTGAAAATAATCTGAACATTAAACTCACAATATTGGGGCGACTTTCTGGACTATAAGAACGAGGAAATTCATGTTGCGTGTGATGGTAGCGCGAGATAGAGTGTAAATGCTCAAAAATATTGAAGTTGAAGGTTCACGCTGTGCCAAGCGAACGCGAAATGCACTGGTAGTGTAGCACATCACACAAGTGGGTTAGTGCGGAGGTGAGGAAGTAGCTGAGGGGCTATGCAAGCGAGTGATATACTGTGATCTTTTACTTTCCCCAATTGGTACGCTCACGATATTCAAGTACAGTCGTTCACGGGCTGAGAACGAACACTGGGTGGAGACGAACCAGGGTTCCCAAAGTCATCCCAGGCCTCCTGCAGGAACTCTTTGAGGGGAGGTAGAATATTAACCCAATCATATTTCTTCCCTATATACTCATCCATATCATCCAATTAAATTGGGGTAAGGGGATTGAGGTGGCCAATCGATGCTATCTGCTTTACTCTCTTCCTGTGAGGGATGCGTACTCAACCACAAGAGTACACTACACAGAACTCAGATTTCGGCTAACAGCTACGAAGGTAGAAGTCTCCAAGGTTTCTTCAGTCAACGTTGAGTAGAAATCTCCTTAGTCCGATATGGGCCCCGCGAGCTACTTTATTAACAAAGATTCACTAGAGTTAGCGGATGGTAATCGACCTTCTTCGACAAAGTAGTTCAGGTAGAGTACGAAGTCACGATAGAGTAAAGTATATAGAATAGTAAAGTCAAAGAGAGTTGTAACTCGCGTATCAACGATTTATATTGTTAAGACTCTAATTTCGCTGATGATGGTTTGGCTAGTCAGTGAATGACACTGTATTTATATCCCTCGTGTATGTCTCGAGGACTCGGTCTACTAATAGTACAGAATACACTGTGGGCCTGCCTGAAACCCTGAAAACAACCAAGAACATTTAACTCCTAAGTCCGTAACCCAAACTCCTAAGTCAGCTGGCACCCCTCACCTATTTACTTATCCTCATATACGTTCCTGTCGACCTCACCTCTTCATCGAATCATCTGGCAGATAATCGTCAGTGTCGGCTACTCGTAGGTACTGGACGGCAAGGTTACCTAGTCAGGACTCTTCCCGTATTGCTTTGCCACATAGCAGAGTCCTCTCATGCCTACAGGTACCGCCAACAGGTACTGTAACGGGGGTCCTTTCTAAGAGAAATAGAATTGGATAGAATAGAGACGGCCATGCAAGATAGACAATCAGGTTGCAGATTATTCAAAGATACTATCGCTAGAACTCAATAATCTTTAAGGGCTCTGCTACCGATAAGAACTTGGTTTTTCTTTCTGATGAAGACTGGAGAGAACAGGACTGAAGGGCGAGAATGAACCTGAGTACTTATACTCCGAAGGCCTCTATTCTCTGCTCCTTCCTCCTTACTAAGTTCCGGTGGGCCTTTCCTCAGTGCCGGAAACAATCCCACCGCTACCCCGCTTTTCTCTAAGCGTCAGCAGGTGTTTTCCGATACCCAAGGCAACCACCCTTAGTCAAAGCCTTTGTAACACCTGCAGCCTTGGTTGCCACACAACCGAGGGCCTGCATGAATGAGCTGCCGCTCAGGTGTAAGCTTAAATATTGCTGTAGAGCTTTCGCTTATTGTAGACTTCCCTAGCATAGTCCTTACCCTTCGGCGGACTTACAATTCTCAGAGGATATAGAGGATCACCGGGCAATCAGAGCTTCACTCTGGCCAGTCTTCTAGTCACTGGCGAGGCATAGACTCGTCAGTCATTGCTCCGATCAATAGATCCCCTTCCTAGCGCCCGGAATGTAGTTACTCTAACAGCTGGTAGCTAACCACACTGCCGGTACTTGCATATCACCATGCAACTGGCTTCTAACAATAATTCTCAGCATGTAACCGGGCCCTGTGTGTACTCATACACCAGACAGTTGAAACGGCTCCGTTACAGGTACTCAGTCGGCTGGTAGCTTGCGCCGATCCGCTCCGAGTGGTCCGGTGTTCGATCTGATTGCGTCCAGCTGTCCTTCATATATCCACCGGTCCAAAAGCAGTTCATTCCGGTGGTTTGATGCTCCGGAGGTTATTATTGTGGTCGAAAACGTGTTCTTAAACTAGGAAAACCGCAACTCCGCATTTGGTTACTTATTGATCGCACCGTGTAATGGGGGTCTCTTCTGTAAGAAAATAAAATAAGATAGAATAGAGACGGCCGTGCAAGATAGACAATCAGGTTGCAGATTATTCAAAGATAGTATTGCTAGAACTCAATCAGCTTTAAGGGCTCTACAACCGATAAGAACTTGATATTTCTTTCTGATGAAGACTCGAGAGAATAGGATTGAAGGGCGAGAATGAGCCTGAGTACTTATACTCCGAAGGCCTCTATTCTCTGCTCCTAACTTCCTTACCAAATTCTGGTGGAGCTTTTCTTCGATCCGGTAACAATACCACCTATAACGTGGGTCTATGGACGAGAGACTATAGTGACTGTAACGGAGCCATTTGAACTGTCTGGGGTATGAGTACACACAGGGCCCGGTTACATGCTGTGAGTTATTGTTAGAAGCCAGTTGCACGGTGATATGCAAGTACCGACAGTGTGGTTAGCTACCAGCTGTTAGAGTAACTACATTCCGGGCGCTAGGAAGGGGATCTATTCATGGGAGCAATGACTGACGAGTCTATGCCTCGCCAGTGACTAGAAGACCGGCCAGAGTGAAGCTCTGATTGTCCGGTGATCCTCTGTATCCTCTAAGCATTGTGAGTCCGCCGAAGGGCAGGAACTTTGCTAGGGAAGTCTACAATAAGCGAAAGCTCTACAGCAATGATTAAGCTTACACCTGAGCGGCAGCTCATTCATGCTGGTCCTCGGTTGTGTGGCAACTAAGGCTGCAGGTGTTACAAAGGCTTTGACTAAGGGTGGTTGCGTTGGGTATCGGAAACACCTGCTGACGCTTAGAGAAAAGCGGGGTAGCGGTGGTATTGTTTCCGGTACTGAGGGAAGGCCCACCGGAACTTAGTAAAGGAGTTAGGAGCAGAGAATAGAGGCCTTCGGAGTATAAGTACTCAGGTCCATTCTCGCCCTCCACTCCTGTTCTCTCCAGTCTTCATCAGAAAGAAAACCAAGTTCTTATTGGTAGCAGAGCCCTTAAAGATTATTGAGTTCTAGCGATAGTATCTTTGAATAATCTGCAACCTGATTGTCTATCTTGCACGGCCGTCTCTATTCTATCCGATTCTATTTCTCTTAGAAAGGACCCCCGTTACAGATAATCTTTAGGGCTCAAGTGTTACGGGCATGCCAAGTATTTACGGGAATAAGAGAAAAGGCTAAGTAGATACCCCAATACCCTCTGTATGCTAATGTCAACTCCGGTTCGCACCCACGAGGTGCGGTGCGATCATTATGCGACCAAATGCGGAGTTGCGGTTTTCCTAGTTAAAAAACACGTTTTTGACCCCAATAATAACCCCCGGAGCGTCAAACCGACGGAGGGGAGTGCTTTTGGACCGGTGGATATATGAGGGACAGCTGGAATCAATCGGATCAAAGATCGGACCACCCGGAGCGAATCGGCGCGAGCTACCAGCCGACCGAGTTCCTATCGGCGGTACCTGTGGGCATGAGAGGACTCTGCTATGTGGGAAAGCGATGTGGAAAGAGGCCTGAGTAGTTAGCTTTGTCGTCCGAGACCTCCGAATAAGCCGACGCTGATGATTATCCACCAGACGGCCGATGGAGAAGAAACATCGATAGGGAAACGTGCATTAGAATGGGTAAATAGGTTGAGGGGTTTCTGCGGGCTTAGGAGTTTGGGTTACGGACTTAGGAGTTAAATGTTCTTGGTTGTTTTTCAGGGTCTCGGGCATGCCCCGAGTGTATGCTGTATTATTAGTAGACTGGGTCCTCGAGACATAACCGAGGGATAGAAATACGGTGTCATTCACTGACTAGCCAAACTATCATCGGCGAAATCAGAGTCTTAACAATATAAATCGTTGATACGCGAGTTACAACTTTATTTGACTATACTTTTGGAACTACTCTACTCTATCGTGACTTCGAACTCTACCTGAACTATTAAGTCGAAGACGGCCGAATTCTATATGCTAACTCTAGTGAATCTTTGTTGATAACGTAGCTCGCGGGGCCCATATCGGATCAAGGAGATTCATACTCGACGTTGACTGAAGAGACCTTGGAGACTTCTACCTTTGTAGCTGTTAGCCGAACTCTGAGCTCTGCGTAGTGTACTCTCGTGGTCTGGTACTCATCCCTCACAGTATATTGTTACTCACAAGTTCACTTGGAGTAACGAAGTCACCTCAAAAAGAAGAACTATCATCATTATCCCCTACCACAATGACTACCCGAGGGGATAATTATTTCATAGATACCTCGGCCGTAACTGAGGAGGCCGGAGGGGAAGATTCTATGATAATATCGAGGGCTGATAGCCCAGATCCCCTACTCCAGGGAGGACCATCTACACAAACTAGGTCGACGAGTAAACGCTCTCCTCAAGCCCAGTTTACGAGGTCCATGCAGGAGTTTTTGGATACCCATGAGGCACAAATGAGGTATCTTAGTACAGCTGGACAGGCCGTTTGGCAGCAGCTACAAAACCTCCAGGAACAAGTGCAGGGGAGTGGGCAAATCTTGGATAAGAACGTACGGCAAGAAGCCATCGCACAGAAGCAACACCTCGAATCGCTCTTTGAGCTCATCGAAAATGTTCGACAAGTACAGTAAGCTGCACGAGCCGCCGACCACGAGGTTCTGGATCGTAACCATCGAATTACCCAGAACCAACTGTTGGAGGCGGAACGACAGCTGAGAGTTGCAAGAGAAGAGCGAGAGCAGGAGAAAAGGGAACAACGGGAGCTGTTGGCGCAATTCAAGCAGTCCGATGACGTAAGAAACCAAAGAATAGCCGAGATGGAGGAACGACTACGACAACATGTATCGGTCGCACCCTCCATAATGAGTACTCCCTTGGACCCTAATGCGCCCCAAACGGTTCCTGTTGGCAATGGCAAGAATCCCGAAAACGCTGGCCCAGTAGGAGGAAACGCTGGTCCAGTAGGAGGAAATGGAGGCAGGCAATCAGAGGATGCCGGCCCGGTGCAGGGAAATAGTGGCAGGAGACCGGTAGGAGCTGCCCCAGTAGGCGGAGATGGTGGAAATCAACCTCCCCAAAACCCACCAAGAGGAAACGTTGGGGGAGAACCAGAACCTTCTGACGACGATGACGACGATAACAGCGAATGGTCGCATGGTTGGAAGAATTGGAGAATGAACCGAGGCGGGAATCGGAATTCGGCGCCGCCTGAGGATGAGGATATGGTAGATTCACTCGCTAAAATACCCTTTGAGTTCGATAATGCCAGAAAGCATAACCTGCGGCATTGGCTCATGGAGTGCGAGATCTACTTCGAGCAGAAACCAAAGAAGTTCCGAACGGACAGAAACAAGGTGCTGTTCGCTGGAACGTATACGTGTGGGTTGGCAAAAGAATGGTTTATGGAATACATCGAGACCAAGATGCTAGGCCCGGCAGCCGCAGACTACGCTACTTGGACTCGGTTCCGTCAGGAGATCAGAAAACGTTTCCTAAGCACTCAGGAAGCTATGGAAAACGCGATGAAGATGCAGCAGTTTAAGTACTCTGCTAACATCGGGGACTACCTGACGAGGATGGAGATCATGAACCAGCATGCTCAGATGAAAGGAGCATCCTATCGCGCCGCCTTGCTCCAAGGGCTACCAAATGAAATCCGAGAGCGCCACTCACGCTTCGATCCAACCGAAGACGATTCTGAGTACATCCAACAGTTGGAACGAGCCGGCAAGGCTCATGAGGCTTATCAGGAGCAGATGAAGATGTTGGGGAAACCGGAGTCGAGAGGAAGGGAGTCGAATAATGGTGGGAATTCGCGGCAGAAGGAGAAAGGGTTTAAGATCAAGGGGAGGGCTCAGACTGAGGAGAAAGAAAAAGGGCAAGATAAGAAGAGCACCAGCAAGAACAAGTCGGGGAATAAGCCAATATACTACGACTATGATGAAGCCACCAAAGGAGTTCCACAGCCGGTCCGAGACCAGCGAAAGACCGATGGCGTCTGCGTGCGATTTGGCCGAAAGGGTCATCTTTGGAAATGGTGTCGTTCAGATGCTAACAGTAGTGCATCTATCTCCTCTTTCTCCCGAAAGCGTACCAGCGATGATGATGGCGACCACGATATGGAACCACCGGAACCCCAACCTCAGAGAAAGCGAATGAGGCACCGCGCTAAGAAGCCGGCTGCTACGGCTGCTGCGGAATATACCAGTGGGCAAGCGTTTGTGCGAGAACGTGGATCGGAATCTGAGATGGATTTCGATGAGGATTTTTAAAAGGGGACTCTGATGAGTCAGGTCAGGAGTATCCCAAAATTGCTATGTTGTCACTGACGGAAAACAACAAAAAAAATATGAAAAGAAAAAGGCAGGAGGGGAGAGCGGCCCATCCGGAGAAAAAACAGAAAATTTTGGAGGAACCCATTCATGGTCCTCGACCTATCGTTAATCAGTTCCTTTGTTTTGCGGAAAAATGTTTACCTGGTAAGGTGTTGTTGGATACTGGTGCAACTGGTCCTGTTTTGTCTGCTGTTTTTGTTGATAGTTTTGAGGTCCCGAAGGTGAAACGAGACGTCCCGGCCCGGGTATTTGGATTTACGGGAGAAGTTATGAAGGGCACGGGACACGCCTTTACACAACCATTAATTATAATGTCAAGGGGGCATCAAACACAGTTGTCATTCGAGATCGCCCCTCTCCCACTTGGCATCGATGCAATACTACCGAACTGGTGGTTGAAAGAACACAAGCCGGTTATAGGGGCAAATGGGGAAGTTTCCTACGATGGTGAGAACTGCAAGAGTCGATGCTTCACTGACAAGGAACCTCAAATAGAAATGGACGAGGGTGTACTGGATGATCCGGAGGCCCAATTCATCTGTAGCATTTGTCTTTTGGAAGATGAATCGGTCAACCTCCGCGAAACTCTTCCCTCTTGGCTCCATGGGTTCCTTAAAGTCTTCCTACCATCGGAAGCAGATAAGGTACCACCGCATCGATCCTACGACCATGCAATAGACCTTGAACCAGGGAAGCAGCCACCATGGGGACCCATTTACTCCCTATCCGAAGTCAAACTGAAGGTACTTCGGGAGTACCTGGACAAAATGTTGCGATTGGGAAAGATTAGGCCGAGTAAATCACCGGCAGGAGCCCCAATCCTATTTGTGAAGAAGAAGGACGGTAGTCAGCGACTTTGCGTTGACTACCGTGGACTTAACCGTGTGTCCATCAAGAACAGGTATCCGTTACCGCTTATGAACGAGCTGCGAGATCGAGTAGCAGGCGCGGTTATCTTCTCGAAGATTGACCTGAAGGAAGGTTACAACCTCATCAGGATCAAAGACGGCGACGAGTGGAAGACAGCATTCCGTACGCGGTACGGGTATTTTGAGTACCTCGTCATGCCTTTTGGGCTGGCAAATGCGCCACCGACCTTCCAGAACATGATGAATGATGCGCTGAGGGAATTCTTGGATCAAGGTGTAGTAGTATACCTTGATGATATCGTAATATATAGCAAGTCTCGAGAGGAGCACAGGGAGCTAGTCGGCAAAGTACTTAGCAGGCTACAAGAATACAACCTGGTCGCCAACCCGAAGAAATCGTTCTTCGAGCTCACTGAAATCGAGTTCCTCGGATACATCCTTGCCCTAGCAAGCGTCACCATGGCACTGGATAAGGTTATGTCTGTTACGAATTGGCAAGCTCCGCGCAGCGTTAAGGAAGTACAGATCTTCATGGGCTTTGCCAACTTCTACAGAAGGTTTATCCACAATTTCTCCGGGGTCTGTAAACCCATTACCGATTGTCTCAGGGGTGATGCTAAGAACTTTGTCTGGTCTATGGCGGCCCAAGCAGCCTTCGAAAAACTCAAAACCCTGTTTACGTCTGCGCCGATCTTGGTACATTTCTCTCCAGATCGCCAGACTATCGTGGAAACGGACGCAAGTGATTTCGCTATCGCCGCAATTTTATCCCAGGTTATTGACGGAAAGACTCACCCTGTTGCCTTTTATTCTCGAAAACTTAACCCAGCGGAACTCAACTACGACGTCTGGGATAAGGAGATGCTAGGAATTGTGTCAGCCTTCAAGCAATGGCGTCACTACCTCGAAGGACCTAGCCTAACGGTCCTCGTCTATACGGATCACAAGAACTTGGAATATTTCTCAACAACCAAGATTCTTAATCGACGACAGGCAAGGTGGGCTGAGTCTTTGGCGGAATTTGACTTCAAGATTATTTACCGCCCGGGAACCAAAAATGGGAAGGCAGATGCACTATCGCGACGGCCGGAGTACCGTCCTGAAGGGGGAGGCACGCTTGGGAAACAGCCGATAGACAGGTTCTTTAAGCCCGAACAGTTGGCGGAGGAAGAGTTTGTGGTATCAGCGGTGTCGCTTGCCTCCAAGGGGGTAATTGACTGGTCTAAGAACTTTCTGGATCATGTCAGGCAGGCGGCATCGGGAGACCCGACATGGGTAGGAATGAAAGAGAGAGTTGAGCAAGGGGAGAAGCTGGGGGAATTGAAGGATATCGCTGAGAAAGACGGGCTACTCTTCTATAAGAATCGACTCTATATTCCGGCAGACGACCGTATCAAGATCCGAATCGCACAGGCAGAACACGATTCGAAGGTGGCAGGACACTTTGGACAAGACAAAACTTTGGAACTCATTACGCGCAACATCTATTGGCCAAAAATGAACGAGTGGATTGATGATTACGTTCGGTCATGTGACGAGTGCCAGCGCAACAAACCCAGCCGCCACAAGAAATACGGCGCGCTTCTACCACTGTCCACGCCACATTCTGTCTGGCAATCGATATCAATGGACTTCATCGTGCAGTTACCGGAATCAAAGGGATACAACCAAATCTGGGTAGTAGTCGATAGGTTCTCGAAGATGTCGCACTTCATCCCCCTAGTAGCAGAAACGACCGCGCAGGATCTAGCGAAGATATTCCTCGGTCAAATCTGGCGACTCCATGGGCTGCCTCTTGATATAGTTTCCGACAGGGACGCCAAGTTTACTTCGAGCTTTTGGGCATCCCTTATGGAATTATTGGACGTGAGGATAAGAATGAGTACGGCTTTCCACCCTCAGACCGATGGGCAAACAGAGCGGGTTAATCAAACCCTCGAGCACTACCTATGAGCGTTCTGTAACTACGAGCAAGATGATTGGGCAGAGCTACTTCCGTTGGCGGAGTATGCTTACAACAACTCGGTTACCACCGCTACGGGCCAATCTCCGTTCTATACCAATTATGGTTACAACCCAAGAACCAACTGGCCGACGGAAGCCGAAGTGGTCAACCCAACCAGTGACCTGTACTGTTACGGGCATGCCAAGCATTTACGGGAGTGAGAGAAAAGGCCAGTAGATACCCCAATACCCTCTGTACGCTAATGTCAACTCTTGACCACACTCGCGGAGTGTGGTGCGACCAATATACGACCAAAAGACAGAGTCATAAAAAACACGTTTTCGACCCCAATAATAACCCCCGGAGCGTCAAACCGCCGGAGGAGAGTGTTTTGGTACCGGTGGATATATGAGGGACAGCTGGAATGAATCGGATCGAAGATCGGACCACTCGGAGCGAATCGGCGCAAGCTGCCAGCCGACCGAGTACCTATCGGCGGTACCTGTGGGCATGAGAGGACTCTGCTATGTGGGAAAGCGATGTGGGAAGAGGCCTGAGTAGGTAGCCTTGCCGTCCGAGACCTCCGAATAGCCGACGCTGACGATTATCCACCAGACGGCCGATGGAGAAGAAACATCGACAGGGAAACGTGCATTAGAGTGGATAAATAGGTTGAGGGGTTTTAGCGGATTTAGGAGTTTGGGTTACGGACTTAGGAGTTAAATGTTCTTGGTTGTTTTTCAGGGTCTCGGGCAGGCCCCGAGTGTGTTCTGTATTATTAGTAGACTGGGTCCTCGAGACATAAGCGAGGGATATAAATACTGTGTCATTCACTGACTAGCCAAACCATCATCGGCGAAATCAGAGTCTTAACAATATAAATCGTTGATACACGAGTTACAACTTTATTTGACTATACTTTTGGAAATACTTTATTCTATTGTGACTTCGAACTCTACCTGAACTATTACGTCGAAGACGGTCGAACATCACACGCTAACTCTAGTGAATCTTTGTTGATAACGTAGCTCGCGGGGCCCGTATCGGATCAAGGAGAATCATACTCGACGTTGACTGAAGAGACCTTGGAGACTTCTACCTTTGTAGCTGTTAGCCGAACTCTGAGCTCTGCGTAGTGTACTCTTGTGGTCTGGTACGCATCCCTCACAGTATATTGTTACTCACAAGTTCACTTGGAGTAACGAAGTCACCTCAAAAAAGAAGAACTATCATCATTATCCCTTACCAAAATGACTGGCGGAAGGCATTATTTCGTAGACACCTCGGCCGTAACAGACGAGGCCGCAGAGGACGCTATGGTACTATCTGGGGCTGTTAGCCCCGATCCCCTACTCCAGGGAGGACCCTCTACACAAACTAGGTCAACGAGTAGACGCTCCGCTCAAGCCCAGTTTACAAGGTCCATGCAGGAGTTTTTGGATACCCATGAGGCATAAATGAGGTATCTTGGTACAGCTGGACAGGCCGTTTGGCAGCAGCTACAAAACCTCCAGGAACAAGTGCAAGGGAGTGGGCAGATCCTGGATAAGAAGGTACGGCAAGAAGCCATCGCCCAGAAGCAACATCTCGAATCGCTCTTTGAACTCGTCGAAAATGTTCGACAAGAACAGGAAGCCACACGAGTCGCCGACCACGAGGTTCTGGACCGTAACCATCGAATTACCCAGAACCAACTGTTGGAGGCGGAACGACAGCTGAGAGTTGCAAGAGAAGAGCGAGAGCAGGAGAAAAGGGAACAGCGGGAACTGTTGGCACAATTTAAGCAGTCCGACGATGTAAGAAACCAACGAATAGCCGAGATGGAGGAACGTCTACGACAACATTTGTCGGTAGCACCCTCCATGGTGAGTATTCCCCTGGACCCTAATGCACCTCAAACGGTTCCTGTTGGCAATGGCAAGAAACCCGAAAATGCTGGCCCAGTCGGAGGAAACGCTGGTCCAGTAGGAGGAAATGGGGGCAGGCAACCAGAGGATGCCGGCCCAGTGCAGGGCAATAGTGGCAGAGGACCGGTGGGAGCTGCTCCAGTCGGCGGGAATGGTGGAAATCAACCTCCACAAAACCCACCGAGAGGAAATGTTGGGGGAGACCCAGAACCTTCCGATGACGATGACGATGATAACAGTGAATGGTCGCACGGTCGGAAGAATTGGAGAATGAACCGAGGCGGGAACCGGAATTCGGCGCCGCCTGAAGACGACGATATGGTAGATTCGCTCGCCAAAATACCCTTTGAGTTCGATAATCCCAGGAAGCATAACCTGCGGCACTGGCTCATGGAGTGCGAGATCTACTTCGAGCAGAAGCCGAAGAAGTTCCGAACGGACAGGAATAAAGTACTGTTCGCTGGAACGTATACGTGTGGATTGGCAAAGGAGTGGTTTATGGAGTATATCGAGACCAAGATGCTAGGTCCGGCAGCCGCGGACTACGCTACTTGGACTCGTTTCCGTCAAGAGATCAGGAAACGCTTCTTAAGCACTCAGGAGGCTATGGAGAATGTGATGAAGATGCAGCAGTTTAAGTACTCTGCTAACATCGGAGACTACCTGACGAGAATGGAGATCATGAACCAGCATGCTCAGATGAAAGGAGCATCCTATCGTGCCGCCCTGCTCCAAGGGCTACCAAATGAAATCCGAGAGCGCCACTCACGCTTCAACCCAACTGATGACGACTCCGAGTACATCCAACAGTTGGAACGAGCCGGGAAGGCTCATGAGGCCTATCAAGAGCAAATGAAGATGTTGGGGAAAGCGGAGTCGAGAGGAAGGGAGTCGAACAATGGTGGGAATTCGCGGCAGAAGGAGAAGGGGTTTAAGATCAAGGGAAGAGCTCAGACCGAGGAGAAGGAAAAAGGGCAAGATAAGAAGAGCACCAGCAAGAATAAGTCGGGGAATAAGCCAATATACCACGACTACGACGAAGCCACCAAAGGAGCTCCACAGCCGGTCCGAGACCAGCGAAAGACCGATGGAGTCTGTGTGCGATGTGGCCGGAAGGGTCATCTTTGGAAATGGTGTCGTTCAGATGCTAATAGTAGTGCATCTATCTCCTCTTTCTCCCGAAAGCGTACCCGCGATGACGATGGCGACCACGATATGGAACCACCGGAACCCCAACCTCAGAGAAAGCGTATGAGGCACCGTGCTAGAAAGCCGGCTGCTACGGCTGCTGCGGAGTATACCAGTGGGCAAGCGTTTGTACGAGAACGCGGATCGGAATCGGAAATGGATTTCGATGAGGATTTTTAAAAGGGGACTCTGATGAGTCAGGTCAGGAGTATCCCCAGATTGCTATGTTATCACTGACCGAAAACAACCAAAAAAATATGAAAAGAAAAAGGCAGGAAGGGAGAGCGTCCCAACCGGAGAAAAAACAGAAAATTTTGGAGGAACCTATTCATGGTCCTCGACCTATCGTTAATCAGTTCCTTTGTTTTGCGGGAAAATGTTTACCTTGTAAGGTGTTGTTGGATACTGGTGCAACTGGTCCTGTTTTGTCTGCTGTTTTTGTTGATAGTTTTGAGGTCCCGAAGGTGAAACGAGACGTCCCGGCCCGGGTATTTGGATTTACGGGAGAAGTTATGAAGGGCACGGGACACGCCTTTACACAACCATTAATTATAATGTCAAGGGGGCATCAAACACAGTTATCATTCGAGATCGCCCCTCTCCCACTTGGCATCGATGCAATATTACCGAACTGGTGGTTGAAAGAACATAAGCCGGTTATAGGGTCAAATGGGGAAGTTTCCTACGATGGCGAGAACTGCAAGAGTCGATGCTTCACTGACAAGGAACCTCAAATAGAAATGGACGAGGGTGTACTGCACGATCCGGAGGCCCAATTCATCGGTAGCATTTCTCTTTTGGAAGATGAATCGGTCAACCTCCGTGAAACTCTTCCCTCTTGGCTCCATGGGTTCCTTAAAGTCTTCCTACCATCGGAAGCAGATAAGTTACCACCGCATCGATCCTACACCATGCAATAGACCTTGAATCAGGGAAGCAGCCACCATGTGGACCCGTTTACTCCCTATCCGAAGTCGAACTGAAGGTGCTTCGGGAGTACCTGGATAAAATGTTGCGATTGGGAAAGATTAGGCCGAGCAAATCCCCGGCAGGAGCCCCAATCCTATATGTGAAGAAGAAGGACGGTAGTCTGCGACTTTGCGTTGACTACCGTGGACTTAACCGAGTGTCCATCAAGAATAGGTATCCTTTACCGCTTATGGACGAGCTGCGAGATCGAGTAGCAGGCGCGGTTATCTTCTCGAAGATTGACCTGAAGGAAGGTTACAACCTCATCAGGATCAAAGACGGCGACGAGTGGAAGACAGCCTTCATGTTACGGGCATGCCAAGCATTTACGGGAGTGAGAGAAAGGCTAGTAGATACCCCCAATACCCTCTGATACTAATGGCAACACCACTATCAACTCTGGTTCGCACCCACGAGGTGCGGTGCGATCAATATGCGACCAAATGCGGAGTTGCGGTTTTCCTAGTTAAAAAACACGTTTTCGACCCCAATAATAACCCCCGGAGCGTCAAACCGCCGGAGGGGAGTGTTTTGGTACTGGTGGATATATGAGGGACAGCTGGAATCAACCGGATCGAAGATCGGACCGCTCGGAGCGAATCGGCGCAAGCTGCCAGCCCACCGAGTACCTATCGGCGGTACCTGTGGGCATGAGAGGACTCTGCTATGTGGGAAAGCGATGTGGGAAGAGGCCTGAGTAGGTAGCCTTGCCGTCCGAGACCTCCGAATAGCCGACGCTGACGATTACCCACCAGACGGCCGATGGAGAAGAAACATCGACAGGGAAACGTGCATTAGAGTGGATAAATAGGTTGAGGGGTTTTCAGCGGCTTTAGGAGTTTGGGTTACGGACTTAGGAGTTAAATGTTCTTGGTTGTTTTTCAGGGTCTCGGGTAGGCCCCGAGTGTATTCTGTATTATTAGTAGACTGGGTCCTCGAGACATAAGCGAGGGATATAAATACTGTGTCATTCACTGACTAGCCAATCTATCATCGGCGAAATCAGAGTCTTAACAATATAAATCGTTGATACGCGAGTTACAACTTTATTTGACTATACTTTTGGAATTACTTTACTCTATCGTGACTTCGAACTCTACCTGAACTATTACGTCGAAGACGGTCGAATTCTATACGCTAACTCTAGTGAATCTTTGTTGATAACGTAGCTCGCGGGGCCCGTATCGGATCAAGGAGAATCATACTCGACCTTGACTGAAGAGACCTTGGAGACTTCTACCTTTGTAGCTGTTAGCCGAACTCTAAGCTCTGCGTAGTGTACTCTTGTGGTCTGGTACGCATCCCTCACAGTGGGCTGAGTCTTTGGCGGAATTTGACTTCAAGATTATTTACCGCCCGGGTGTAACGGGGGTCCTTTCTAAGAGAAATAGATTTGTATAGAATAGAGACGGCCGTGCAAGATAGATAATCAGGTTGCAGATTATTCAAAGATACTATCGCTAGAACTCAATAATCTTTAAGGGCTCTGCTACCGATAAGAATTTGGTTTTTCTTTCTGATGAAGACTGGAGAGAACAGGACTCAAGGGCGAGGATGAACCTGAGTACTTATACTCCGAAGGCCTCTATTCTCTGCTCCTAACTCCTTTACTAAGTTCCGGTGGGCCTTCCCTCAGTACCGGAAACAATACCACCGCTACCCCGCTTTTCTCTAAGCGTCAGCAGGTGTTTCCGATACCCAAGGCAACCACCCTTAGTCAAAGCCTTTGTAACACCTGCAGCCTTGGTTGCCACACAACCGAGGACCTGCATGAATGAGCTGCCGCTCAGGTGTAAGCTTAATCATTGCTGTAGAGCTTTTCGCTTATTGTAGACTTCCCTAGCATAGTCCCTGCCCTTCGGCGGACTTACAATGCTCAAAGGATTATAGTGGATCACCGGACAATCAGAGCTTCACTCTGGCCGGTCTTCTAGACACTGGCGAGGCATAGACTCGTCAGTCATTGCTCCCATTAATAGATCCCCTTCCTAGCGCCCGGAATGTAGTTACTCTAACAGCTGGTAGCTAACCACACTGCCGGTACTTGCATATCACCGTGCAACTGGCTTCTAACAATAACTCTCAGCATGTAACCGGGCCCTGTGTGTACTCATACACCAGACAGTTGAAATGGCTCCGTTACACCACTCCCCTCTTCCTGGATCTTGGTCTCCGAGATCTATAACCATTCTATTACCATTCATTCTATATGACAAGAAACTCCGTGATATGCAAGGAAATGAAAACCCAAAAGGAAATATCTACACCCCAACAATCCGCTTGTCCTTGGGTTTCTTAGGATACCTCATATGGAAATCCCGAAGGGCTTTTTCAGCACTCTTCTTGAGATGTTCCCAAGGTTCCCATGTAGCATCCTCGTTTTCATAACCTTCCCACAGCACTAGGTATTCCACTCGTCTCCTTTTCTTATTGACCCGGCTATCAGCTACCTCTCGGACAACCCAGTTCTGTTCTCCTTCAATCTCTTCGGGTTCCGGTGGTGGAACTCTCCTCTCAGGATCTACCGGTGCTCTGTAGGGTTCCAGAAGGGAAACATGAAAGACAGGGTGGATTCCCATTTGGGGGGGAAGAGAGAGCTTGTAGGCACGGGTACCAATAGCTTCTAAGACCTTAAAGGGTCCCATCTTCTTCTGATACAGTTTTCCCAAAGGTCGCTTTGTTTGCACATTGCGCCGGTCCAACATTACCTCATCTCCGGGCTTGATTTCAGGCGGTGCCAGGGCATGAGCATCATACCACCGGGCCATCCTTAATCTAGCTTTACCCAAGCTGGCGTTCATAGCCTGCCAGATAGATTCCCATTGAGATATCATGACCTCGCTCGCTGGATTGTTCCATTCTACTCCTTCCTTTGGGGCCGGCCAGTTGGTTCTGGGTTCATATCCATAGTTGGCATAAAAAGCCGATACTTTGGTAGACTCAGAGACCGCCGAGTTGTATGCATACTCTGCCAAAGGCAAGAGTTCTGCCCAGTCATCCTGTTGATATGAACAATAACTCCGCAAGTAATGTTCCAGGGTCTGGTTAACTCTTTCTGTTTGACCGTCCGTTTGGGGGTGGAAAGATGTGGACATCTTCAGCTTCACATTGAGGAGGCTCATGAGAGATTGCCAAAAGTGAGAGATGAACCTGCTATCTCTGTCCGAGACTATGTCATCAGGTAACCCATGGAGTCTCCAAACTTCCTTCAAGAACAACTTAGCCAAATCTTCCGTTTTATTAAGGGTAGGAAGAGGGATGTAGTGTGCCATTTTCGAAAAACGGTCTACTATTACCCAGATCTTTGTAAACCCACTAGATTCCGGTAATCCCACAATGAAGTCCATAGAGATGGAAGTCCATGGCCGATAGGGTATCTCCAACGGTTGGAGCATACCAAACTTCTTGTGTCTTGAGGTCTTATTCCTCTGGCAGCTGTCACAGCTCCGGACATATTCCTCAACATCCTTATCCATGTTGGGCCAAAAGAAGTTGTTTTTCACCCGCTCAAGTGTCTTAAATTGGCCAAAATGACCAGCCACCTTAGAGTCATGGGTATCGGACAGTATTTCCATCTGAAGCTTCTTATCTTTGGGTATATACCATCTATTCTTATAGAAGAGGAGACCGTTCTTGACCGACAAGTTCTGGTCCAAATTTGGTTTCCTTTCAACCAGGGAGCGGTGCAATTCCTGCCAGAAACTATCCTCTTTAGCAGCCGCATATAGGCGCTCCAAGAATGTATTCTGCAATTGATTCACCCTGACAGCCGCTAGCTTTGCAGGATCCAAAACCAATTGACCTGGCCTAAAAAAGATCTGTGGCTCCGGCTGCAGAGTTTCACCTCCCTCTCCAAGGCGGTGATCCCAGCGCCTAGATAGCACATCAGTCTTGCCATTCTTTTCCCCCGGTCTGTAGACAACTTTAAAATTGTAGCCTGCGAGGTCTTCAGACCATCTAGCTTGCCGCCTAGTGAGAACCTTGGTAGAATTAAAGTACTCCAAGTTCTTGTGGTCTGTAAAAACCGTGATTTCTTGCTCACAGGATTTGAGCATGTGTTCCCATTCCCGGAAAGAGGCTACAATAGCTCCCATTTCCTTATCATGAATGTCATAGTTGATCTCAGCAGGGGAGAACTTCTTAGAATAGAATGCCACCGGATGTAGCTTCCCATCATCCCCATACTGAGAGAGCACCGCTCCCTTGGCAAAATCACTGGCATCTGTCTCAACCACCGTTCTCCTACTAGGGTCAAAATGAAGGAGGATTGGAGCGCTTGTGAACAGCCTTTTGAGTTCTTCAAAGGCCTGCTCATGTGCTGCCGTCCAATGCCATTTCTTGTCTTTTTGTAGGAGGTCAGTTAATGGCTTGCAAACCTTACTGAAGCCTTCAATGAAGCGGCGATAGAAGTTTGCAAATCCGAGGAATGCCTGTACTGCCTTGATATTCTCAGGGACCGGCCATTCCTTAACTGCCTCCACCTTGTCTTCTGACATAGATACTCCTTCTTCCGAGATGTGATAGCCTAGGTATTCTACTTCTCGGACATGGAAGGATGTCTTACTGATCGAGGCACAGAGCTTAGCTTCCCTAAGCTTCTGTAGTACCTTCTTGACCAATAGCTCATGCTCTTTCTCAGTCTCCGAGTAGATGAGGATGTCGTCGATATAGACAACCACTCCTTCATCCAGTAGTTCCTTTAGCACATCATTGATCATTGCCTGGAAGGCGGAGGGAGCATTGCATAGACCAAACGGCATCACATTATATTGATACAGTCCATAGCGGGTTCTGAAAGCGGTTTTCCACTCGTCACCTTCTGCTATCCTGATCAAATTGAAGCCGTTCTTTAGGTCTATCTTTGTGAAGATCTTGGCCTTGAACAACCTGTCTCTGAGCTCACTCATGATAGGCAGCGGGTACTTGTCCTTGACAGTGACCTTGTTCAATCCCCTGTAGTCCACACAAATCCGCAAAGTCCCATCCTTCTTAGGAATGAACAGTATAGGCGCCGCAGCAGGGCTGTTAGATCTAGAGATCTTTCCTGAAGACAATTCTTTGTCCAGGTACTCTCGGAGGGCCTTCAACTCTGGAGCGGAACATGGGTACAGCGGGCCAAATGGGGGAGCGGTGCCAGGCAAGAGTTTGATCTTCAAATCATTATGGGAATGTGGCGGCATTTCCTCAATTTTCTCTTGACTGAATACATCAGCCCAATCCCGGTATAGGTGGTGTATTTTCTCAGCAATATCACCTCCGTCCTCATCATGCCATACTGAACCAACCAATTGATAGACTGTCTCTTCTTCCTCCAACATTTGGTATGGAGAGATCAGTTCGATCTTGGTGGCCGCTGGGAGACAATTCTGCTTG